TCGAAATTCTTTTCTTCTTTTCTTTTCGTTTCTTCGCTCTCTTTTGTGTCTATTTTCTCTATCTTTAATTAAATCTATTATTCCAATCTCAACTAAATTCTCATGTCAACTGTAACATATATTTAATATTTTTCTAATTTTATATGACTTAGTAAAAAATAAGATTTCAATGGGCTCTATTGATTTATCGTGACATTTCGTATTTTTGTCGTTTTGTAAGAAGATGTAAATAATAAAGGATACACATGTCTCACACATTTACCTTCTACGATATCTGCTCGTGTCAAGTTATCTTTTTATATACGTCAAAAAGAAAATTTTAAGAATATAAAACTGAAATTTAATCGATCAAATATTGTCACAATATAATTTCAGGTTATATTGAGTTATTTGTGAAAGAAATCTACACTCTAAATAACAACGAACAAAAAGAAAAGAAAAAGAGAAAAATTCTTCGAAGCTTTTAACAACATCTTTCTACCACGCAAATTACATCGGCAAGTGAATCGTATTGCATAAATCTAAATTCCATTTTAAAGTTTCGATATTATGTTAAATATAATTTAATCTGATTATTCAATAGTTTAACAGATAATAGATGTTTGAAGAAAAATATTTCTCTTGAAGACAAATGATTTTTTCAAAAATTATTAAACTATTAAAAATTGTTTTATTCATACTTATTTTTATTTTTCTATGGATAAAATACGATCAATATTCGACACAACTACAATTATTATTATTATTAAATGAAAACACTACTTGTTCGTTTGATAACATTGTTGCATGTCAAAGTTCTAAGATTCGACATCGTACATTTCTGTACATTATTTGGGGTGGAGCTGGATTTGGTAGTGAAATAAATCAATTGTTACTTGCATTTGCCTATAGTATATCAACAAAAAGACATTTTTTAATTGACAGTCAACAATGGAATTATGGAAATTTTAATCATTATTTTAATATTTCATCAACGAATTATTATTTTCAATCAAATCGTCAGTTTCTTGTCGAAAATAATACTCTTAATAATGAAATTGATCATTTAAAGACAACACGTATTGGAACACAAGTAAGAAAATTTTGGTTGGCCACTCGACAAGTTCAATCGTTTGAAGTGAAACGTAAAGTAGCACAATTTTTATGGAAATCAATATCAAAAGAAACATTGAACTTTATTGAGAATTGTCAAATAAAAAATTTCACAAATTATATTGGTATTCATATAAGAAAAGGTGACAAATTAAAGTCAGAAGCTCCATCAGTATCATTAGAACAACATATTAAATCAATTGAAAATATATTCAATAAAACTAAAACCATTCAAAATATTTTTGTTGCTTCAGATGATTTAACAGTAATCAAACAATTTCGTCATTTAAAGCCAATATGGAATTTTTTTCAAATAAATTATAATAATTATCAAGACATAAATAGAACTGGTCATTTTCAATCGAAATTTAACCATTTATCATTGGAAAGAAAATTATTTGAAACTCGTTTATTGATGTGTGAATTACAAATGTTAATTAATTCTCAATATGTTTCATGTAGTATGTATTCAAATATATGTAGACTTTTAAAAATATTAAGATATCAACATCCAACAACAACAGTTTCATTAGGCCGATCATGGTATCCTACATAATAATTTATTTATTTATTACTATTATTATTATTGTCATCTATCGGAAAATATTATTCAAATAGAAAAATAATATTTATGAATTATCATATCTTAATTTCTATGACTAAAAAGACACAGAAACGATTACCCCAGCAGAGAAAAATTTTTGAATACGCATTTGAACGTACGAAAAAGGTAAAAAAAATCGAGAAAAATTGGGCGTGTTTCGATAACAATTGAGGCTCCCGGCATATGATGCGTTCGGAGAATATCCCCGAAAGCTCGATTAAGTGCTAGGAAACCAAACCTAGCAGATATAACAGATATAGAGATATACAGAGTATAGCGGGGTCCAAGGGGGGACAGAAATTATAGGGGTTATAGGAGACATAGGAGATATAGGAGATATTTTTTTCTCTCTTTCATTTTTTTATTTTATTTAATTATTACTCAACTAAAATAAAATTTTCTTTCACAGATATTACTGATATCAATATTTATTTGTTGAACCTTGCTCGTTGTTTATCAATCTCCTATAACTCCTATATCCCCTATATGCTGTATATCTCTATATCTGCTAAATCTGCTGGGTTTGGTTCCCTAACACTTAATCGAGTTTCCGGGGATATTCTCGGAACGCATCTAATCGCTTGGGTACCGATCTATGTTAATTCAATAGATTTTTTCGAACTGTATAATAAAAATATGAAATTGTCTAGAATAGAATTCAGATAGTTATTATTGATTTGTGCAAGTAATGAAACAAAAACTATGCTTTCAAAAAGAAATGTTTCTTGGTTATTCGATTCAAGATAACAAACCTTTACGTTTAAATATAACTCTACGTTATTAATTCGTTTTAAAAGAATTTATATAATCAAATTTAACTGAGAAAACTAATCTAGCTTTATTCTTTTGAAAAGTTCATTTTTCTTAAATATCCCAAAAAATAAAATATTTTCATCAAAGCTGAATCATTTAAAACTATTAATTTACTGATCTAAACTGATTGAAATCTATTATAGAGAATTGACTAAGCGATCTGCAAATTTCTAATGTTTTTATTTGGCTAATGATAAACATATGATTCTCAATTCCATTAGCTCATAATTTATTTTAGAGAAAATTCTTTTAAATTTATCATCATGAAAATGTCCATATTTAATTGTTTTTAACATGATTGTTTGACGAGTGAGAGTATAATAGAGTTGGATTGTTTCTTTGTTTTTTAAAGATTAAAAAATGAAATAAGCTCTGTTATATCATTAAAAGCAAAGCACGGTTTGGGATTTGTATCCATCGCTGAACTATCTAGTGCGCCGGAAAAAATTCCAAAACTACGTGCACCATGCGCATCGAATGCTGACCCAGCCACATGTAAAACTTGATTTTTATCACCATCGACTGCAGCTAATGCTTGTGCATACATTTGTGAACATGGTTTAAAACAATTAACTGGATAATTCGATGATAATGTTAATGAAACATTGACTGATGATGGAAAGATACGTAACGCTGCTTGTAATGTGTCTTTATCACCATTAGAAAGTAAGCCTAGTTGATATTTTCTACTCAATTTTGTCAGAACTTCTGTAGTACCAGTTCGTGGTTGTAAATTTCCCCATACAGACATTAAACTATTGAATGTGTCACTGTGTTCGGGTACCATACTTGTTAAATCAAATGAATCTAAGATTTTTAATAACGATGAACGAATTACCCATAGAAACGGTTGGTGAGTCAGTGATGATGGAAATGATTTTCCAAAATATGATACATATGCATTAAGCCAATTACTTGTAAATTTTTTAACATCTAATGATGATAATGATGGCAAAAGAGATGCTATATTTTGATTCATCGAAGATTCTGTTAGCATTAATGCACCAAATAAATCAAACGTCACTAGACGCAATTTGTTGACATCGAGAGATAAACAAGATATCAATGTAGAAGAATTGTCGAACTCAAGGTTTAATGTTTGACCATTGATGGATAAAGTTGAACATTCTACGAAGAATTCACAGGCACAAAAAATAGAAATCATGGTAATTACATTAGAGTATTGAAATAGGTGTACCATCTTTTTTTTTTTATTTTAAAACTATAAATCACAGATTCTATTCAAGATGCAATTGAAAGAAAGAAAACAGAAACAATATAAAATGATTAAAATGCATAGATTATTTCTTTTTATTTTGAAAATATAATTTACAGGTGTCAATGATTAACAGATTAAAACAAAGACGAAAATATTTGCATTAGTACTTCATACTCTTTTGTATTTTGAAAAAATGTTTTTCAATTTTAAGTATAATGACAATAGCAGAAAAATGTCTCATCATAAAATTTCAATAGTTCTGATATTTTCTTTCTGAGAGATTATCAAGAAAAAGAAATGGCTTAATTTTATTTTAAATAGAATATACATGGGTATGGTGTGTGGGTGCCTTGAACTTCAAAATTGACACGAAAGCTCATCGAGCCCAGAAATTTTTGGCGCCGGGCCAGAACCTTACGGATTAATAGTATTGGGACGCGTAATTTAACAGTATTTTTAAAATTGCTAATGTATTTTTCTATTTCATGAGTAGCATACTGCACATAGTCTTTTAATGATCCAATAGATATTTTACAATAATTAATATCAATTACCTTCTACTTATAACCAAAAGCTTCTGATAAAATATTTAAAGCATATGCATTAAAAAAGTTGGAGTGATGGTATTATCCCGTTACACCAAATAACGACGTTTTCTCTAAGCAAACATACCGAGTGTTCATCGAAGCCTCCCAAATATTCGGTGTATTATCCATATGGTATCGAAGTGGATACCCTGAGGCAAGGGGGGGGGGCAGCGGTTCCCGGATCCCAATAGATCCCAATGGATCCTCGGGAAACCAAATGAGCATTTGGAATAATTTATTTCATGTGTATAAAGAACAATGCGGAATAGACTGATCGTGAGAGATATACAACTAGACTGTGATCGAAAGAAAGCAGATGGGAAAAAAAGAAAAAAGAGTGTTGAGAATTCACAGCCAAGAAGGAAATTTCAGGATACTCAGATGCATGCATCACCTTAGCTCCTGGGCTATCACAATGGCAGCACGTGTCTTGTGTCACACTAGGCTCAACAATTCCTTGGTCAATTTCATCATGTTGTGATATACTGGTTACTAGCACAGTCCAGTTTTTCTAGATAGTTTATTAGGGATTCTTTTAAATTGTAACCAATCACGATAAAATGTAACGTTCTCTAACAACTTCAATGATTCTATTTTTATAATCTGTCAATACTCATGTATCACCCTACGTGTGGTGTGCTTCCATTGACTTAACAGTGTCAGAAGCGAAGTCAATCTGCCACTCTAATGTCACTCTTGTTTCTTTCGTCAAAAATCCTTAAAGACATTTGAAGCTCTTGAAGTTTATGCCAAGGTTGTGCATTGTTTCAAAATCAACGATCACATTGCAGTTTTTTCTAGCAGAGAGAAGCTACTGCTACTTTACCAGGTAACTGATAATGTTACAACTGCTGTTATCCGCCTAACTGATAATGGAAGAGTTATCAGCTACTTTTCATTGCAAGCTTCTCAAAATGACGATTTATCACTTCCATTCGATTGAATATCGTAGATACATCACTTAACAGGGTTCGGAGTTTCCAGATAACTGGTTAAAAGAGTAAATGGTCCATTAGTTATCTTTAATCACATAAAAGTGATAATTCGTTATTCTGAGTAATTGCCAGCAAGCGTAACTGCGAACCCTTCCGATACCAATTACCTAGGCACCTGTGATACTAACCCCTAGTTTTATCTCGATTTGATTGAGAGCTTATGTAGTAATAATAGTAAGATTTCGGTTTAGATATTGTCGAGGTGGTAACCCAGGTATATTTGGAATCTTACGATCTTGATGCTTTCAAACCCTTCATCTGACGCAGGAAAGATTTCTAGAAATGATAGTAGAAGAACGATGGGAATCATCCAGGAATAAATCCTTTCAGATTCAATCAGCGTTCTTTGTCCTGTTTTTATGCATACTTATCATAGATGTCATTAACTGATATTCACAGCATTTTCTTTGTTCCTTTTCAAAGATAACCATCTCGAATTCTTGGAGGATGACAAGAATAGTCAGAATCTCGCTGCGAGCACGTCTATATTGAACAAGGATCTTTAGTTTTGATTTGGAGTGTGTTCAAAACTTGATATTAAGAATCCCTGAAATTCTCTAAGAACATATTTTGTATGAACCAGAGACATGCACAGGACATCATTTTTTCTCCTGTCCTTGCCTGTTCTGTTGGCTGCCTTGGTCCTGGAGAGCGAGAGGACAGGGCAAAAATCGAAACCTTATCCTGTGTGTGTTTGCCCTGTTCGTAATTTTCGTCCTGGCGGAAGTCAGGACAGGATAAAAATCTAAATCTCATCTTGTCCTATAAGATAGGGCAGGACAGGACAACAGGACCGTCCTGCCCTGTGCACGTCTCTGGTATGAACTATCACCATTTTAAGAATCTCATCGATTTACTTGTTATCACAGATTATCATAATATTGATATACACCAGTGACTCGTAATTCATTCTGATTCAGCTTTTTGGATCCCGACAGATCCCACTGGACCCTGGGATTCGCTTTTCCCCCTTGATAAATACCGAACTCTATATATATATAAAGAAAAGAAAAGAACATTTTGAATTATTTTTTCAAAAGGACAAAAAATTTTCTTTGCATTTTGTTTGTTTGCCTTCATTGTTCTAAAATTTGTGATAATAATAATAATAAAGAAAATAAAATAAATTTGTAAAAAATCGGAAACCAATAAATAAAAGAATGTTTTTGAAGACCTTGGAAACCTTAAATACTTCAAAAAATTTTCAATTTTCTGTCAATCTATGAGAAAAATTATCAAAATAGGTACAAACTCAGTAACCCACCCTCGTTCATTTTTAATGGAATCCGTATCCTTGGATTTCTTGAAGATTGTGCTATTTCCATTGCAATGAAAATAACTCTAATAGTTTTCTGCATTACAAACTACTTTAAATCCATCTGATAGTTGCGATTCTAGTAAAGAACAGTTCAAAGACTGTATTTGGAAATTGTCCGGGATTTAGAAGTGTCAAAATCTCAAGACTGAAGAAGACCTTTCGTTGTCCAACGTGGATGGAATCTGCAAATAATTGATACTACAGCAATTCATTGCAGCCATTCAGAATCTTTCTGATAATTACATAACATTCTTTCAAAATCATATACAAGCAACGTCCGTGCTGCGTATTTCGAAAGACTGCAGATCCCAAGGTTTCCAGAAGACTTTTTATTCTGCAAACTGCATAGAATCTTGAAATGAACAAAAATCTCAGAATTATTGCAATCACCATGAGTCCTTGAGTTAAATGTACTAAATTGTGCCATAATCCTACCTGAATATCGTGGATAGCCATGAGTTCTGAAACATGTGGATCCCTAGATTTCTAGAAGACCTTTCGCCGTATGAAACCCATGTGCATTTCATTATAAGTGATACATTAGGAACCAGTTGGAATCATTGCGAACCATTGAAATATTCGCATAGAATTTTCTCGAAATCGTAACTGAGTATGGCCATGGTATAGATGTGTACAAATGTCCTGGATTCCATGTTTCTCAGACGACATCTTCATCATGATCCACACGTGAGATCACCATGATCCGTTAGCATTAATGACTCATTGATGTTATGTCAAAAATTGATTACCAATTCATGCTTGAACATCGCTGCTCGTCGAATAATAAAGAAATCAGAACATTTAAATCTTGGCATAATACGTTTTGAGTGTCACAACAGAGAATACCACACGCGGACATTCACATTCAAGCGTCTCAACCACTGTGATTTCTCGAAATGATACAAAATTCACAATGAAGTGTTTCAAATTGATTATTTATCAAATTCCAAGTATTCTAAGTGATCTAGTAATAGAAGCCCTTTTCTTGAGAAAGACGAAGTCCCTTGTGTTTCATCCACTTTAATTAGCTGACATAAATTAAAAGTTTTGGGATTTAGTAGCAGTGTGATCTTATAAGAGTCTCCAAAGAATGGAAGTGTTGCAATCATGCAGCGTAAAAAATACCTATGTGCATGAGAGTGAATTCATGATGCAACTGGAATTCTTAGAAATCATTATGATACGTTAGTTTTAAAGTACAGTGCGATTATCCCGACATGCCCAACCATGATCCCTGACTGACATTTATTGAAATCGGCGGAACCCATAAATTCTTGAAAATCATTTGCAATTTATTCTATATAAAGTATGTGTTGCAGAGAGGCATGAGATACACATTGGATATTTGGAAATCCTTGCTAATTCTTGCAATCAAAGTATAACTAGATAAAAAATCATTTGGAAATCCAGAGCAACCCATCTTATTCATGGAAAATATATTTACATAGGTAATATGGGTGGATCCATAGGTCCTCAAGGTCTAATATATAGGAATACCCATAGGATAGCCATTAAGAGAGCTTCTATGAACCGACCAAGGATCGCTCCAGTGTATCGAGCACTCGATAATATTTATTTTTGAGTTTTTTTATGGTCATTCGAAAGATCAAGGTTTAAAACTACTAACTTGAAAATTTTAGCTTCTAATACGTTTCCTTCGAAAAGTTAGTCAGAAACGACTTTTACCGCTCACAACTTTTCAATGTAAAAAATAGCAAAAATTTCTCTATCAAACAACCCCGTCTCATGTCTCAGAAGATTGTTCAAATCTTTAGACGAATACTCTGAAAGATAGCCCATAGATAGGTGAATAATACTGGATATTTAAAGTGTTGGATAATATTCTTTTATTGAGATTGCAAATATCATAGATGTCATGATGCCGTTACACTGGGCATCGTGATTTCGAAGTCATAATACCCATCGAGTTATTTTTGGGGTATTACCCCAAGGGTATCCACTTTTATATAACTATATATTTTAAGCTGAGAAATTTGAGTTGTTTTGGGGTATTACCCTAAAGCGTAACAGCTTCGATATTCTAGAAGAAATACACCAAAACAACTCAAATTCGCATAAGATGCTCAATTCGAATTTGAATATAATTGATGCATATACTTACCAGTAACACTTCGGAAAAGTTTAAGGTACAGATATGGCTACAGGAAAAAGGAAATAATATAATTTTATCTGAATTGTATTTTATATAATTTGAATTTAGACATGCATATTACTAAGCCTGAAATGCATAGCATAAATTATGATTCCTAGAAGCATACCATGGATTTCTGGCAATGCGTAACCTTGGTAGCCGGAAGCCTGTCGCTGCTAGAAGCAAACCGGACGTTACTACACGAATGTCTGAGGCTTCTAAAAGAATGTGTGAAATTTCTGAAACCATATATCAGGTTGCTAAGATTATTCCTCGACTTCTTCGAATCTTCCCTGACGTTGCTGACAGTACGAATTGAGTCCTGCGAGACACACCACAAGTACCGGAGCACGTACCTGAGCTGCTAGATATTTTATAGAGGTTACTGCAACTGTGCCTCATCTTATTGCAAGTATTATACGACCAACTTTCCGACAAAGTAGCGCATACATCTGACAGGCACTCAAATTCTTGCAGCAAACACCGGAACGCTTCTAGGAACCTCAGGTATGCTGCTAGAAATCCCAGGAATTGTTATAGCAAATGCAGGTAAGCTTGTAGCAGGATCAAGGTCATCAATGGATTCTTCGAAAAAATCTCGTTTATATTCGATGTGGAATTAAGCAGCTGCTCCGAATTCTTCGACTTAAAACATATAGTTATATAAGAGCGGATACCCTAGGGGTATGTTAGGGTGTATTCTACTATAACATATATACCTCGATTCGATCTATTTCTTTTCTTTTGTCTTTTCGTTTTTCTCTATTTTTCTTGTCCTTGTTTTCGCGTGCGTATATAAACGGTTGTTTTCTAACAGAATAAACAGAGAGAATATAAACACATTCGTTAACTGTGTTTGTCGCTCCTCGTGAGCGCTAACAAAATTGAATTTATTTGAATTATAAAATAATTTACTTATGCTTTAGTTAATTCTCCATATAGCATTTAATCAATTTGTTAATATTTATTCAATTGCTATTGAAGCTTTAGAAGGTGAAAACAGACTATTATTTCAATGATTTTATTGCATTTAGTTGATAGAGAGTGGCCCAAATACTGTAAAACTATTCATCAATCACCAAACAATTGATTTTAATCATGTTAAAACAATTGAAGCGGTTCAAATTCTCAAGTATGACTCCTTTTTTTCTCACTGTTAAAGAATATCCTTAAATTCGAATAGATTTGAAAAGATACAACTTAAACACGGATTACCAATTGAATTACAATTCGATAAATTTGAAAATGTTAACTCATTATCAGTAAGTATTTACATGTATTATAATTTCTATACAAAAATATGTTTATTGAAATACAGCTATTTTTTGCAAATAATCAATCCAATTTCAATCAAACAACTATCCAATCGATCACGATTTTTGGAACACTAGCTGCTACAGTAAATTAGAAAAATTATGAGCATAATTTCATTCTTTTGTTTCATTCAAATAGACGAAAAACAAAGCAACAACCAATATGTGACAGTGATATTAATCATCAGATATACGCATAGATTGTTCATTTCTACATTATTGTACTGTGCGTTCTTTATTCTTTTCTTTTTTAAACCAGGCTAAAATAAAGATAACAGATTGATTAAATTTCGTTTTAAAGAAATCTAATGATAATATTTAAATTATATTTTGTTTACAATGAAATCAAGATCAATGATAAGTACCAACAATATATGAAAAACTTTGCCGTCAGAAAGAAACATTTTTTGATCTTCGTCTGAAAAGATAGTCATATTTCTGAATGTGAATAAGAGAACTATAGATACTAGGTCTCTATCAACAAGATTTTATAAAATACATGTGGCAGTAGAGTTTAGAAATCTAGTTGAGATTGGAATTATTGATTATTCTATAAATGTCGTGAGAAAATGATTCATAGAAATAAAATTTTGTTACTGAGCAATGTGAGATAGTTTGATTGAGCATGTAGATTCAAAAAAGACGTTTTCGTTTCCAAAATTAATTGTGTCCATCTTTCCTGATCGAAGCGAGAAAACAATAAAGATTCTGAATAGATGTTTATCTTTCAATGCTCGGGACATAGGGACATAGAGACATTGATTTTTTTTTTCTTTCTGTATTCGAAGAAAAGAAAGATTTTCGCTATCGTTATTTCGAAGTAAGGGTCTCGAGTAGCTGGGATGGGAATGGAACGATTTTTTATATCGAATGGTATGGAAGGAAAGTAAATGTTTTTTCTTTAATTTTCAATGAAATTAATAAAGAAGTTTCTTATATGAGGTAGTCTATTTGATGTGTTATTATCAACAATCGTTCTTTGTTAAAAAAATGAATAAGTTAATATAAAAGAAATTTCATAATTTATGTCTAATCATTGTCTGTTTCATAGTAACGAGTATCAATTATTAAAACTCAAATTAATAAAGAAACGATGACAAAAAATTAGATATTGATATATTTTACTAAATTTTCAAAATGTAAAACTCGGATAAATAAGTATTTATTTGATGATGTAACATAAGTATCATAGCCAACGGAGTAATTCATTTCCTTTTAATGTTAAAGTATCAGTTCGACGAGATACATTAATTACTGTATGACTCATACAAGCGATATGAGACGGCATTGAGATAAATGAAAAATAAGAAAAAACATTTTTTTTTGTTTTGGTCACCAATTTGAAAAAGAAATCTAAATTATGATCAATTAGAAAATACTTTGCTAAATCTAACTCATAGAAAAAGTTTCCATGCCGTTCATATAACTTTATTTGCATTTTGATCTTCGAAATTATTTTTTCTTTTCTTTTCTTCGCTCTCTTTGTGTGTATTTTCTCTATCTTTAATTAAATCTATTATTCCAATCTCAACTAAATTCTAATGTCAACTGTAACATATATTTCTTTCATAGTTGGTCAGTTCTAAAATCAATCATTTACACAGAAGATATCGGACATTTTCAATTTTTGTTTGGAAAAAAAACCTAGCAAGCAAGTGTGCACCATAGGCGGCGGAGCCATTAGGCGTGGGTAGGCGCAAGCCTACCCTAGAATAAAAGTGGGTAGGCTTGGGTAGGCTCAAACTAAGACAGGTCAAAGGCTTGGATAGGCTCAAACTAAGACAGGTCAAAGGCTTGTGTAGGCTCNTCGTTCCGCCGCCTATGATTAGTTTCACTACTGACATTCTCCATGCTCTGAGAAATGCTGCTATTCACATCTTCAACTTTATCGAATTATTGCGTGAAGAGAACGAATACCAGCATCACCAGTCCGAAGAGTCGGTAGTTCAATTGCGCAAACGAAAGAAGGTGAACGATGCTATTGACGAGAATCTTGAATTCCTTCTTAATGACCATTAGGGTGGATTGATCACTGATATGCAACTCGCGATTAAATGTGGACGCGCTTTGAAGACAAAACTTGTTAAATGATTTGTTTATTTTTCTTGTTCCTTTTATTACTCTTGAATAAAATAGCTGATTGTTGAAAATCATCCGTTTATCAAATCAGTCACCAATTAGTAGCCATTGAATTGGTGGACGAATCGAGAGTAACCCAAATTCTCCACTTGCTAGTTTGTCGCATTCGCACTGCGCTGATTGATTGCAAATCAACGTGGCAGAAAAATAACTGATGACGGCGCATCAAATAGAACTAATTATCTTGCAATCGTTATCAAAGATAATCGGAAGAGAAAAATTTCAATCGGAAATCCGTTTAATTAATTAATAATATTTTCCGCAAAACTTGACCTGAAGTAATCGAGAGTGCGAAATCCGAATGTGAGGTCGATTTTATTCATTTAATTACTTCGAGAATGTGTGTATAAGTGTGTAACAGATAAGTAACACACAACACACCCTAAGTAAATAATTTGATGGAAGTCGCGAAGCCGCTCTTATACGAGAAAGAGCTAAGCGTGTGTACATGAGCATTATTTGTTGCTCTATGTTTAAAAATAAATGAACAAATTTGTATAAAGGCCGATATGAAACTTTAGATTTTTCTCTTATGTCAAACAGCACAGAACATATTATATATTGTGAAAATGCGTTATCCTACAACCCTCTACCTGACTGATCATACGACACTAGTAATGAGTGGTTCGTTCTCATTTTAAATCTCTACGTCACACATAGATTCTTATTTCCAATAGATAAAATATCATTTTATTGATAAAGAATATAAGTAAATGATTTATGGATTACCTTTATCCAAAATAAATAATGAATGATTTCGTGAATAATCAGCCCCCTTAAACATATCTTCATGAAATGTTAATGTAAGGTGACTTAGTTGATATTGAATGAGTACAGATAATGTCCGAATTAGTGGTTTAGTTAAAAAACATCGAGTAATATATAGTGATTTAAGATTAGGAAAGCACATTTGTTGATCATTGTTACAAAGGGATTGATAAACAAAATCAAAAGGAATCGATTTACGTCCATCAAAATGCATGTATTTTATACTCGAAGCAATAGATGGAGATGAATTAAATATTAATGGTAATAATATTGATGAAAATGTTTCATAAGATAAATTTGATTCGTTAAAAATAATTCCATTTTTATTGTTTGAAAATATTGAATAAATAAGAGAATTAAATCGTTTATTTAACGACCATAAGGACATTAAAAGTTTATCCCATGATAAATAACAAAATACACTTAATAATATTTCATTTGGAATTATTTCCAATTTACTTATCATTTCTTATCTTAAACATAAATTAGAAAATGTATTGTTCTTCTTTTCAATTTAAATTTATCAGAATAGTTGAAGAGTTAAAATCCTAGCCAAGTTGTCAATCTTTCTCCCTGTGTAAAGTACAAAATTTGAGTGCACTATGGAGATAATAATGTAATGAACATTTTCCGGATTTATTCTATAGCATCATTATGTCTCTCGGTAGTTTTCAGGAGGAAGTGGATAAGCATATTTCGTAGGCATATGTTAGCAGTTGCATGAAAAGGCGCTGACACGTGAGAAGAGAAAGCGAGTTGACATGAAAAGTAGTAGTTTTTCTTTTAACGATGAAGAGAACATGAAAGAGTTCTTGTTTGGAATAAACTTTCCTGCAAATGATGAACTCCATGAAATCTCACAGAAAATTTACCATGAAAGAAAGCGTTTCACATCCTGTTAAGAGTCCTATTTTCTCTGAGAATCTTTATAAAAATAAAATCGATTTTCATTCAGTTAGAAACGCTTCTGGATATTTTCGTAGTCGAAAAAAGTATCTCTCGTGGAGATTGATCAACACTGGAATAGTATAAAAAAAACACGATTGAATTATATGTAACTTACGTTTCAAAATGTTACCTTAACTCCTCATCCAAACGGCAAGCTTCACAAAAAAATGGAAAAGGAGGACGCTTACACAACGTTGATAAAGAAGAATGACCGAAATTCAATAAAACGTTCTTTGTATATCTGTTGGAGACAGCAGGTTTCTTTGTTTTCTAAAAGAAATTCTAAAAGACAACCAGATTCAAATGTCCTTTGATATACATCGATAATATTTGAAAACCAAGCAGTATGAAAAAGAATTCTTATGAGAAACTACATTATTTCATTATCGAAGAAAAATGAATAATTAAATCAATTAAAATATTTCGATTATATAAAAGATATATATGTAGTTCAGCAAAAAATGTCAGATACTATAACCTACTTATTATTGCACAATTCTTAATTGAAGTATCAATATGAAAATAACTTCACTTACAGAATTATCTTGTGAGCGACAAGCAGTCCGGATGAGAAAAAATATATTTGAATCGATATTAAACTGTCTCGATAGAAAGAAAAAGATGCCAATTACCTTCTTTTTTTTGTTTAACATTAAAATGACAAATAAGCATCAATTGTATCATAGATTGTTCTATATTGAAATAGCAGCGTATTTGCGTTGGTCTATTTTGCACGAGAAAAATGTCTCTCTATTTACATATTTTTCTCTCAATATGAACCAGTTGGACGAGAAAGTTCAACATCATTTCCTGTTCTCTATCAATATCGTGTCATCTCTTTCTTTTATTTTTGGCGTTGAAGAAATAGAGGAAGAAAAAAGTAACCGAAAATTGAGAAAAATGGAAGGATAGACAAAAAGATCTAGAATTTTGTTTGTTATATCTTTATTATATTTGTGAGACCCTTGTTGTTATCATCCAATATATAGTCATCACACTGTTGTAAAAAGGAAAATACAGAAAGAAGCATGTGAGATAGAGATCTCAAAAGTAATTATATTAATTTAATGAATGTTCGATCAAAAACAACATCAGTAGAAGTTGTAGTAATGCATTAATCAAATCATCAATGTCTACAACCGTTGTGTGTATGTAAACATGTTGTATCCGCATGATTGTCAAAAAGTTAATGTATAGTGATTTTATTTATTCCAAACAAACAACTTCATTCTTTCTTCTATGCCTATTGTGGGTGAATGTTCTTCTTGATAGAAATATAATTATAATCAAGGAATATAAAACTAGGATTTTATTCGTCTATCCTTTAAAATATATTGAATTTTTGTTTTTATATGATTTCTACAAATATATGTTACGGCCAAATGTAAAATTTGCCCAGTCAAAATTACGACTGAAAAAATATTTTTTTGATCAATAAAATAAGATGAAAATAACAGCTATTCAAACCAAAAATATTTTTATTTAAAAAAAATTGACTAAGCAACACGTAGGGAACATTAAAAGCGGATTCGAGTAGGGTGGATGTAGGAGGGTGTGAATATGGGTGAGTGTGAAATATGTCTGAGATGGAGACCAAACCCTACTACAGAGTAGAAGTAGACTGTGTATGGATCAGAAACCGTGCGTAGGGGGACTGACACCATAAGAAAACGTGGCACCCTGAATTACACCCACACGACGGGGCACATCCAACGGTAAATTTTTTGCCGGTTGACCATCATAAAAATTACACCATTCGATAGAGCTCGAGATTGTGCACCCAGCACGAACACTTTCAGGGCCAGAAAAGACACTCAAGAGAATGTCTGCAAGAAATACTTAAATCCGCTGCTAATTTTCCCTACGTATTGCTTAGTCAATTTTATCAAAATAAAAATATTTTTGGTTTAAATATCTGTTATTTCCATCTTATTTTATTCATCAAAAAATATTTTTTCAGTCGAAATGTTGATTTTAATTTTGTTCAGTCTAAATTTAAATTTAAATTTTGACTGGACAAATTTAAAATTTGACTGAATTTGAATTTTGACCACAACATATACATAAAGATGCAATAAAATCTGATGAAGTTCATGAATCGTAGTAAAAACAAACAATCGTGGACTAATGTAAATTTCCTATCTGAATGATAAAACGATTTCTTCTTTAACACTCTTTGAAACAATCTTGACAAATATATCGATCTGTAGTTCGGAATTAGGGACGTAACCAGCAATATTTTTTTAGATGCAGGAGGGTAGTCATAGAAAAAAAATGTTCTTTTCTGTTTGTGATAACAAATTAATTCATACAACAAAATATTAATGTGTCTTGTCTATTATTGGTTGTTTTTTGCCTCGTGTGCAAAGTACATTCTTCAAGTGGTATAAAAAATTGTTTAAATAAAAGTAGCTGAATATGTGTCGACTTGATCAATAGTGGAGTATCCATGATGAGCCCGAATCAGTCGGTTAGGAACAAAATTTTCAACTAACACCTAGCACTTTTATAGACAGATCTCTTTTCTAAGACAAATCAATGATTGACGACAACAGAAAACAAAACTGTGCTTGATTGTTACTCTATTCTGTCTTTTTTAATATGTTATAATCAGCAATTTTTTAATATTTATCCATCATATATGAACTGAAATAAATTTATTTGAAACAAGCTATTATTCTAAACATCAAGCAGAAGAACTATTAAAAATGTTTTTCTTATAAGTAACAGAGTTTACTGCTTTGTGCATGATAAATATCCAAAAATTACATTATTGACTTGATCGTTTACAGAATCGACCAAAAGAGTGATAAATGAATAAGTTACATTTATGTTCTATCTATGTGGAGATATTTATTCTTGCTCTTTCCAATCGTGCCAACTAACAAAAAAAGCTTGAAGCTAAATTCATAGGATTAAGTTGCATGCAAACACATCATTTTATTTTCATTGCTACAAATATTAAGATACAAGTCAAATCGACTTGACAATAGACTGATTTTGCCATCTCAAAATATATTTAGTTCTCATTGTTGTTTAAAACTGAAACAAAATGATAAAAAATATCATCAAATGACTATCTACTATTTCGGATGATATTTTTACTATACGTTAGATATAATTACAAACAGTGCACACCATAGGCGGCGGAACGGTTTCAATCTAGGGTAGGCTCAATTTTCCCGCAAAATGATGTCAGGAAAAGGGTGAGAAAATGACGTTCATCATATTTTTTCCATGCTAGACGCTATACGCCTTCTTGCTAGATTTTGATTCTGTATAAGTGTGATAACTATATAGTGCTTTATTCTTTTGAGATAAAACGATAAATAATGAAGTATCACAGAACAACTACTTAAAAAATAAAACGAGTCTAAAACGTAATAAAATCATACAGCACTAAAAAATGTTTTGCTATTTTCATTCTTCGAAATAAAATCAGAACATACGCTCTTCAAATGAAGTAAATCTAATTTATCTTTATGAATGTGAGGAATATTAACGTGATTTAAACGTTGTTGACTCATTGTGCAACATAAATATGTTTTAATTCTATTAAGAACACTGAATGATCTTTCAGCAGTGGCTGTTGTTACAGGTACTGTCAAATATAATATTATCAATTTGCAGTATTCATGAAACATAGTTTTATCAATCTGTCGCGCATTTAAAAGCTCACACACAGTACTCATTTTTGTTACTTTCTTGAGGCCTAATTTCTTCTTCTTGTTAATGCTCGAAAAATAACGTTTACATGTAATAGAGCCTACTCAAGCGTTTAATTGTTATAGTTTGAGCCTACCCAAGCCTTTGACCTGTCTTAGTTTGAGCCTACCTAAGCCTACCCACTTTTATTCTACACTGTAAATTTTATTTAATTTCTATTTTGTGAAAAATCGACTTTGAAAAAGCTAGAACGTTTTCAATGCTTTATAATTTCATGGTGGAATTCAGAGTATCTCGAGAATCCTTGATTTTCAATTTGATAGAATTTCACTTTGATTTTCTGAAAAAAGAGATATTCAATAAATGAGGAAAATCAGAATGCATTATACGGTTACATGGAAAATCACGGACGATTTTTTATGTATTTAGTATTTATCGCATGAAATTATCATGATCGTTTATAATATATATAATTATCCAATCCTCGTTTTTCAGTGTTTATATGGAACAGCTTCTGTTAGTAAATAAGCATTTCAGCAGAATAATATTGAACTTTTTAAAATATTCATCTCTAGAAGGTAACTATATCCTATCAATTTGATATGTGCTTATTTACAAATCAAAAAATAACAAACACTGTTTTACGGATTCATTTAATTACTGAATATTAACTCATGTCTGTAACATAGTAGATAAATAAGAAAGTAGTTCCATTTGAAAATCAAAAGAATTCATTTTTCACGATCTTCATTGTTAATTCGCTCGACATTTAATTTAGCCGATTTATTACCAACGACACGAACTTCTCAATTTAAATAAACAAATACATATATTATGATTTTATGACTTTCTCAAATATCTGCCGATCATTGTTATTCAATAGTTTTCTTCTAAAACGATAGTCAAATGAGTTCTTAGTAAAAAAAGCGTGATAAATTTTGTTCAAATTCTACATATATAGGGAGTAAACGAGGAGAACTATGAATAACTTTTTCTTTGTCATCGCTACCTCTCAGCAATTCTATCCAATCATAATTTTTTAATTGTTTATCATTCGATGAAATTTGTTTCATATTCTTTATGCATGTTTTGCCTTGTTTTTCTTTTGTTGGCTGTAGATTTGTGTCTTTTTTTCGTCGTCTTCGTCCCGATCACCTTTATCATCACGGACGTCGTCACTTTGGCAGACTATTAATAAACCAGTATTCATTGTTTACTTTGTTTGTATACATCTATATAAACAGTTTGCTTTTTCGCTTTACTTAACCATTCAAATACTGTGCAATTTCGATAATAAGAAAACAATATGATGTGATTTATCAATTGATTTACACAATTTTTATTTTTATTTTAGGATTACATAGTTGCCCTTTGGATTTAATTTCGTTATTATTTAAGAAATGTCAATTAGCAATTTGCAAAAATGTACAATTTGTCTTAGTAACGTTGATAGAACAACCCATGGATATTTACGCCATTTACGACAAGTACACGGAAATGATCATTTGTTTAACACAAGTTGTCCATTATGTGATTCTAATTTTATATATACCAACTTGAAATCTTTCATAAATCATTTTCGAAAACATGATTTTAACTCTTCCGGTCAAGATCATTCATCATTATCATTGGCTCCACCTTTTAATGACTTTAATTTAGATAATCATGATGATACAGATGATTCACAACAAATTCAACAAGCGTCAGTTTGGCAATCTGAACATCATGGTGCATTAGATGAAATTAGAAAATTTTATGTAAAGATGCTTTTAAAAGTACGCGAAGGTCACGTACTACCGGGTAATATTATGAAAACTATGGCATTATCGATCACTTGTCTTTTAGAAAATTTTTCATATTATTTGTTGTCGAAGCTAAATATCAACGTTGATAATGTCATATCGTATAATTTTAATAATGATATTGAAAAAAATATATTTGAAATATCAAGAAATGAAGATTCTTTCATCGCCGCTTGTCAATCGTATTTTAAATTTGTTAAACCTAAAGAAATCTTATTGCCAACAGGTAGTAAGGCTTATTATATTCCATTGCATCAGCTCTTGAAGAACTTATTTGAAACACAAGGTTTTTATGACTGTGTTAAACAAGAAAAAGAGCTTATATCACAATTTCATGGACAAGATATTATATATCATTATCAGAATGCAGAATTCGGACGTCAACATCCTGTACTTCAACACAAAACTAATTGTTTCTCATTGCAATTATATTCTGACGACTTAGGTGTTGTTAATCCATTAATGGGTAAGAATGCTATACATAAATTGACAACATTTTATTTTTCAATAGATGATCTACCAGCACGTCATAATTCTTCACTCAGTGCTGTACATTTATTATTATTATACTATAAAAAAGATTTTGATGATGAAAAAAATCGCAAAATTTTATTTGCACAACTTAGTAAAGATTTGAACAGTCTAGAAGAAGATGGTCTTATATTGCCTGGTGACAAAAATCCAACGTATTTTACAATTAGTACATTATGTGCTGACAATTTATCAGGTAAACTTTAAAAAAATATTTAAAATAAAATTCATAACAATAATTTCTATAAAATTTTGAATGTCTGTAAAACTAAAATATACCTGACACGATAACATAAGTCACATTAAACTCATTTAATAATCACAGGCTTAGAATGCAATTGTATTACATATCACTTAAATTTAATTTCATGTTTATTTAGCTCATGAATTAGGAGGATTCACAAAAACATTTACTAGTGGTTATTGTTGCCGTTATTGCTTTACAAATCACAAAGATATGAAATACATTTATAAAGAAACTCAAACATCTATTCGTACAAGTGCATCTTATGATCTTCAGTTACAGCATATTCAAACAGTACCTTCAGATAAATCGTTGTATGGAATTAATGATTTATCACCTTTATCATCAATATCATCATTTCATCCTATTATGTCATTGCCTCCCGATTTGATGCACGACGTCATGGAAGGTGTCATGCCGAAATTAACTGGTTGCCTACTACATGTCATTGTGTCAAGTCGATTACATACATGCTCTCAAGTATGTCAAATGATAAATAAATTTAATTTTGGTAATAATGATAAAAGAAATCGGCCAGTTGCTTTCAAAGAGAAAGACATTTCAGAAGGAAATGTTAGAGGTAAGAATAGAATTATTTTTTCTCAAAATAATATTTCGTGTCTTTTGGATACCAAAAAAATTGTTACTCAGACTGTGAATTACATCAAAATCATATATAGTATTAAATGCTATAAATATTCTTTTTTTTCTTTTAGGTAAGGCTATGGAAAAATACTGCCTGTTTTTGAATTTACCATTTATATTTTATGAAATTATTGATAAAATTCCATATTGGTTTTTATATGAATTATTACGTGAAATATGGGATATTTTATATGCGGACCATCCAAGAAAATCTTGGTTGTCTACTCTTGAAGTATTGATCCAGGAATTTTTACAATTGTTTCAAACAATTTTTCCTGAAAATTTCGTTCCTAAGTTTCATTTTTTACTCCATGCAGCACGTAATACAGCCAAATATGGTCCATTAAAGCGACAAATGAATTTACGTTATGAAGCAAAACATCATTTGTTAAAACAGATGTCCAATCGCTGTAATAATTTTATCAACTTACCCTATACTATTTCTAAACGTATTCAACTTCGTCAATGTTATGAATTAATTGATGAGAATTTACTTAAATTGAATAATATTAGTGGAACAATTCGTAAACGACGAACAACAAGCTTCAATTTATCAATACAAAATATATTATTTAATGATCGTTTATTTGCTCATCGTGATGTTGTTCATATCGTTAAATGGATAATAATGGATAATATTAAATTTAAAGTTGGCGATTTTTTCGTTGGTTTTCTATTAGGTGGAGAAGAAATTCCAATATTTGTCAAGATTAAATATATTCTCAATATGTCCGAACAATGGAAATTTGTGGTTCAATGTTTCGACACAGTCACTTTCAAACAAAATTTGTGGTGCTTTGAAATCAAACCATCAAATAATAATCTTATCTTTAGTAAGAATGATTTTATATCACATAAGTCAGAAGATTGTTATTATATAGATAATTCATATTTTATTCGTGTACCTTATCGATTAACTGCTGTCGAATAATTTTTTTTTCTAAGTTGTTTACCTGAATTGTGAAATTCATGTTTAATAAATTGTCATTCTTCTTGTCTATTTAGAAAAATCTTTAATTTTTTTCTTTATCTTCTACTTTAGATAAATTTTCGATGGAATGGAATTATCAAGATGTTTCTTATTGGCTAATGGAAAATGGATTCGAAAAATTTATAAATAAATTTCAAGGTAATCAAAAATCATCAAAACGTTTTAATACAATTAAATTTTTTTTCTATTTCAGAAGAAGAAATCGATGGTTTATCTCTTTTAAATTTAAGTTCATCATCTATAGATGAACTTTTATCGATCAATACTGCTGCTGATATTGTTAAGAAACCAACTATTGGTGTGAAAACAACATTTCTAAAGAAACTCGAGATATTAAAATCTGATGTTTTTTCAAGTGTTGAGTAAGTATTTATTGATCTTTATCTCTATTCTCTCATGCATATTTTTTATTTAGCAATATAATAACATTAAATGAAAGACAGTCAGATGTGCTTATCGACGAATTAAATTCTCAAATACCAAATGATTTATCGTTTGTAAACGATTTAAATGGTGATGTTAATCGTGATGATACTGATAATCAAAATCATTCGTTAGAGTTTTTATCAGATTCATATGTTTCAAATCCACCGAATGTTCGATCAACAAAAGCTTCTGCACGTTTATCAACAAAAGCTTCTACAAGTTTATCAACATCACCATCACATACATCAACTACTACTACAGTACTTGATGAAATATCAGATAATTCTTCGTGTACATCAAGAAATCAACCAACAAAAAAATTTCCATTGAATTATTCTCTACCATATTTTGATACTGCTTTTGAAAAAGCTGCAAATAATCCATCTATAGAAGAGTTTGGTCTTCGTTGTAGAAAAAAACAGCAATTGGTTAAAACTATTCGTGATGATGTAGTAAATACATATGGAATCGATTTTTATCCGACATCGTTTGAATTTGATCGAATGGTTGTTAGTGTTAAAAATAAATACCCTGTATTGACTAAAGTATTTGGTGAAGATATGGTATGATTAAGATAATATTAAATGATGTTCTTGTATGAATCTTTTTTTCTTATGTAGAGTCTGTTAACGTCCGCGTTGAAACAACAATTTTCTCGTGACCGCCAGATATCTGGCTGTGTATCTGATCTTTTATTGAAAAAAAGACAGTCTCATGGTCATATTTTATCTGGACGGAAGTTGAAATTTGTTAAAGTTGATTTAGTATCTCATCGTGTATGAAATTATTGTTATACTTGTATGGGTATTGTTGATTGTTTATTGTTACAGGAATATTTAATTGAAGAGAAACAACAATCGGAAGAATGTCTGATGCAATTGTTTCAACAAGCTGAATCACTTCGTACATTAGTAAATACAACAAATTATGATTACTCTGAAGTTAAAGCAAAAATGGACATTACATATCCACATCGTCAACGTCTTGTACATGAAATGAAACCGGTAAAACATATTCTGGAATTGTATCCAGCTTTATCAGTATCTAATCTGGTAAGTGCATCTCAACAGCTTCCTATAGCTTAATACTTCTCATTTTTATTAATTAATATATTTATTGTTGTTCGTATTGATGGCAGATTATTCGTGAAATTAATGTCCATTATGATCCATTCGATGGAGATATTATTCAAACATTAAAATCTAATTTTACAAAATTATTTAATTATACAGATAATCCACAAAAAGAAAATATCACTGAAGGTAAATATATATATAACAACTGATAATATCTTTCATATTTTATGATAGATGAACGACCATTTTTTATTTTGGAACATTTGATAATGAAACGCTATAAACATTCAAAGAAGTTATTATTAAATCAAGTAATTTTTTTATTCATCGCTGAATCATAGTATTAATTTTTAATGTTAATTTCGCTTATTTACAGGAAGTTTTAGATGCCTATCCAATGATTCAAGTGCACAAAAATAATGATAGTACAAATTATTCCATTATTGTTGAATATAATCAATTGACCATAACAACTTCTCAAGTGGAAGCTGTGGCTATTTTAATTGGGTCTTACGAAATTTTCAATATAGAATATCCAAAAAAGATTCGTGCAACTTTGGAGGTTTTACATGGATTATCATTCAAAAAGCGATCATTTTTTCTGGCGGTGGCTGCTAAACGATTTTTAAGTGAATTTAAAATAAATGCAAATGTAAAGTAACTAGTGACTCGTTGTTTATCTTAATTTTAATTGTATTTATACATGCGTCTATAGATATTTATTTTTTTTGTGAATGAAGCATATATTTGTTTTGTTGTTAACTTATGATAGCATTTTTAGAGTATTTGTATATGAAATTTTCACATGTCAATATAATTTGTGTAGCTCATATTTAAAATAAATCGAATGAAATTCTGCGCTGCACATGAAAATAAGATTTGATTTTTAAATTCGTTGGAAAATGATCCAATTGCTATATTGCTGCTGATTTTCAAGGAATGCCTATATGAATTCACTGTCTATTTTCTAACTAGAAAATCGAATTGGTTATTTCTTATATTCAGAATATCAAGTTTTCAAGAATTTTAAAATTCTCTCTAGAATTCATATAGGCATTCCTTGAATATCCTTCAGCTTTCTCTATAATGTATTTTCTAACTAACAGTGCAGTATCACCTTCGATAATTAATGGTAGTCTAGTTAATTTTCGTTCGTGAACATGAAAAAGTTTATAAGCAAAATTTTCGGTCAAAATAAATTTTGTTTCATTCATTATTCTTATGAAATCATCATACTTTATATCGATGAGCCAAGATAAACATTTAGCAAAATAATCTTTGTTCTTAAAATCGTCTGTCAGTGATGGATTTTTGTTGTTGAAGAGTTGCTTCAAGTCTTTTGAAACATTATTCCAATCATCGTGTAATAGATGTAAGGCAAAATAGGGATCGAAAACAAGATAAATACGAGGATAATTATTATGTCGAAAATCAATATGAGCAAGAAACTTAGCTTCGTTAATCATTTGTTTCATAACAGTTGAACCGAGATGCTGAGAAGTTATGTTAAGTCGATAATAATGACCTTTAAAAAATCGAATACGACGATATAAAAATTTAGTGAAAGAGAGTTCTGAAATTTTATTTCTTGGTATTTCGCGAGCATATTTTGTCATACAGTTGTATATTTGCTGACGACATTCATCGCGATTTGTCAATTTTTCGAATTTTACAGGTTGGTCTTTGCCAGTTGGACTTATTGTCATGAGACGATCGATTGTTTGATTTTCATAGGCTTTTAAGAATCGTGCAACAAGTTCTTCTTCTCGGTTAATAAATAATTGATAATTTTCGTCTGTGACTTCTTCTAATGTATATGGTGATATAATTGATAACAAAGGTAAAATTTTATCGAAATTTTCTTTGATTGTCATATGATATTTGTCTGTATGAGGAATTTCAATAACAAATTTCCATTGTTTGTTTTCTGGTAGAGAAAATGTGAGACCAGTACTCGCATCAGTCAATGATCCACAAACAAAAAGCGACAAGAAAGTACGATTTAGATCTTCAAATGGTGCATGAATTGATATATTGAAAGAAACCGATGGATTTTCGTTTCGACCTCTTGAATCAAACAATAGGAATGAGCTAATCAACGATGATAAATTTAGTGTATCATTAATACTAAAACACGATGTATCTTGATCTTTATATTTTGTATTAATGCAATGAGTTTTTCCTAATAGAAAAAAAATGATATGAGAAATAAGTGAATGAAATAAACTACATTGCTGTACTGTAAGACATTTTCGCACTCTATACCTTGCCTTATAAACCAGAGGTGCTCATGGCAGCGCAATAGCGTTCTCGCCATCTCAGCGTCAGTGACAGATTTTTATCGATAACCAACGTGGCAGCGGCGTGGCAGAGTCTCGCCCACGATGGACATCTCTGGTACTGACTTAAGATCCTAATTCTGTCCTTTCTGATGGACTTTCTAGCTGACTATCGTAACATTTCAGATTTCGTTATTACAAAATATTTTTCTAATTTCCAACGATAGTCAAACATAAAATTATGGCACAACGAACATCATTCTAACTCTAATCTGAACATCTTCTATACTACTTTTGCTTAATCCTGCGCAAATCTAAAGCGGAACTCACCTATTCCAGCTTTTCCATATATGATTTGAATCTGTGGTTGTGTGTAATTGTGTTCTCCAAATAATCGAACTATTTGCGTATAAATTTGATTCGGATCTCGATGTTTGAGTAAGATATGAAACGGTCTTAGGCCTCTCCGATTTGTTGTTAATTCTCTTGAAAAATAATAGACGGTCCCATGAGGTTGTTCTTGTCGCGTCAATGTATCCTGTTCGTTTAATAATAATTCTCGAAGACGATGATGCATTTTATCGATCTCCATCACAGCAAATACCATGCAATGAAATGTTCGTACTCGTAAGAAGAACAAGTGTATATCATCTTCTGTAGCAATCGAACACCATAATATTTGATAGACAGATGGTAGTCGATCATTGAATAGACTCAATAGAACACAACAAGTTTCCATATCAAGATCATGCTCGAGTGGTATTTTATCCGTTGCATGTTTCATTGCATTTGGTGTTACAAGATACTGTTGATTTTCATTGATTGATGGATTTTTTCTGAATAGTTCTCTTCCATTTTTCAACAAATCTCGCAGAAATTCGGACAATTTTTTTAGACTCATTTCAACATTAGAATTTGACGCAATTTTGTATGTTTCATGCAGACGTGATACATGAGCTTCAGATAATTCACAATCACGTATTTTCAGTGAGCGTAAGTAATGCATCAAACACTGAATGGTCAGATTTTGTTCCTTGCCCTTATGATTGATGATATCTTTTGATAGTGATAATTTCTCCAGAAAATGACATTTGATTTGATTTTGCGTTGTCGATGTTGTTAATAAAATAATAAGGATCATTATTTGACGATTTGAGAATAAATTTAATAAACGACTGTCCTGTCTAAATCTTTCCAAATTTGTTATCCATATATCATAAGCAGTTTCTAAAGCGCGATAGATTGATTCTAAATTCTCTGTGCGAGTTTTTACGACACGTTTCAATCGATCCGCTCGTAAGCGATGATCTTTTCTTAGATCCGTAAGAATCGTATCGATTTCGCCTAATTATTAATTAAAAAACAAAAACGATATTTATTTTCTTTGTTAAAATTTCTTACCAGTTCGGTCATGTATTTCATAGTCTTCTTCTCTGAGTTGAAAATCTGGATGACCTGTCATTTCTAATTTTACAAGTATAGAATAAATTTTTTCGACAATTTTCAATAATTTTAATTGTTCTTGTAATAATATTTTTCTATAAATCATATTTTCTTGTAAATCAACATTACAGAATGTTAATTGGCGTTTATGATCATCGATGTCACTCATTGTCAATGTAAATTTTAGTGTTTTAGACTTTTGTTGATTATGTTCTTCATCATTATATTGTTCATAGCCATCATCCTGTGAATCAGCTCTTCGCACCTGTTCAGTTCCCAATTTATCAATAGAATAGATGATTTCAAAATAAGATTGTTCATTCATTAAATGTCTAAGACGTATCTGAACTTTACCGGTTTTGTACAAATGCTCCATTGTTAAAAGAGCATTATCTAACACTGTTGTTTCTTCTGCTGATAGCCACATATTAACAATTTGTACATTCTCATTGACAACTAATAGATTGAAAAATAAAGATTCTCAGAAACAAAATTTATTTTATTTACGCGTCAGAAAATATTAACTGAAACGGGCGTTTACGCAAGCGTGTCTTTCGCTTGGGTCAGATTTTAGTTTAAAAAGTAGCTCATTATTCTAGTCATTTAGTTGAATGTATAACTATCTTACTTTGAATGTGATTGAGAGAGTTTTCTTCAAATTTCGATAAGCCAGCAATGCGATTAAGAAACTCATCGAAATTATTAGCCTTGAGGACGAACGGCTCACACAATGCATAGGCGATAATCCATGAATTCAGAATCATATTATTACGTTCTTGAAATTGAAATTGTGTTGTTAAATTATCTCGTAATTCTTGAAATCGACGACGTCCATGAGGTGAATATAAATCATACTTTTTCATCATTAGAACAGCATTTGAACACTCGAGTGCTGTTTTAATTAATTGTAAATGTTGACTCGATAAATTTTGAAATTGCCGTTTTACAATTTCGTACGTTTGCGTAATTTCTTTCAGCGAACAGTTTTCATCACGCAAGCGTTTGAGTCGACCGATCAACTCATCATCATTATCGATTGGTAGTATATCAAATGTTTCAATGCAATTTATGATAATATTAACATGACTATAATATTGATAGATCTGTAGCCATTCACAAACTTGCTCAATTTCTTTTTCAGTGGGATCGATCGTTGTTCGAATAACAATCGTGGATCGTTTTCTTTTTGTTCCTTCTTCAGAAGAACGTTTACTAAAGAGCTTCTTTACTTCTTCTTTTACATGAATGTTTTTATCACAAAATACGGCTTTAAGATCAGCCATATCTTTTAAACTTACAGTACCATGCAAGAGGTTATCAATAAATGTAAATACTCTATCGAGCAAATTACTCAATTCACTCTCCTTAATTGTTTTTATTGATTGTTTAGAGTATTGTTGATAAAACATATTGAATATACCATGGAATAGATGAGAAGTTGATAACGGTGTTTGTATTACCCGATACCATATAGTACGTGGAGCTGGAAATGTTTCATTATTGACGAGAATCATTAACTGGCCAGCTCTTTGTGTCTCATATTCTCCTTGTAGAACATATTTATCGATTGAAACCTTTTCCTTGCGACATAAAAATTTAGAAGAATCATTCAAGTCAGTGGTTTGATAGTTTATTTCTATATTACATGCAAGTTTCTCACTAGCAATACACCATTGAACATTTTGACGACCATTGATAGGAATTATGCATTTAGCAATCATTTTGGAATCTACCTTGAATGAGTTGTTAGGTTGAAATCGTTTTAATTCACGAATATAATTTTCAGAAATAATTTGATTGCCTTGTGTACCAGAGTCAATTAATTGAAAAGATGTTAAACAATTGAGTAGATGGCATAGTCGTTGTAGATCATTAAAAGGTCGAAGTAGTTTTAATGCTTTCTCAACTGTTGTTTTCATTTGAATCATTGTGATTGATGAATTACTTTGCGCTGTACGCATATCATTAAATAATTGAGCAGCTCCAATGACATTCCAATTCTTCAACCATTCGACAACATGCAAAAATACTAAGAGAAATTTATCAAACCATCGAAGCCACTCATTCGCTTGTTGAATGAATAGTTGAAAATATTGTTCCTTGATATTAATGTCTGTGATATAAATATCTTCTGGTATAGGTGATACAATTAATTCAATCTGTTCTGTAGGACGAGGAAATTTATATTGGTTTGGATCAATGGATGTAATGATTGTTTTAAAATCCATGTACTGCATAAAGCAATATAATATTGTTGAATTTGATTGATCACGATATTTTTCGCAAGGACCTATAACAGAAAGTGTTTGACGAAGAATACAATTGCGAAGTACCTAGTCAAAGAATGAATTTTTATCTCTTCTAGATTTAAATGCGATTTATCACAGGAAAAGTATAAGTATCTATAAATTGAGATAGAATTTACCTTGTAGTAGTAAGATCTGTTGAATTGATTTTTCAGCGCCTTGAATAAATTCATCTACTTGTTTGGTATCCATTTGATGTAGTTGTTCTTGTCGGGCATTTACAATAAAATTCATGATAATATCGATCTTCGGAAGTGACAAAACAGATTTTATATATTTGACAATAACAAGTTCAAATAGATTGATAATCAAAATGATTGTCAAAGTATCATTGATATTGTAGTTGTCATGCTTGACAATGTGCATCCATTCGTTCATTTTCAAAAGTATTTCATTCGTGTTCTCAGCTTTTGATTTGAGAATGCTCAAATATATTAGTCTTCTCCAAATATAAAGTGTCCAACGATTATTTAAATGATTATTGCACAAATAATTGTACACATTTTCGTTGAAATAACGCAAAAAATCTTCAGGAATAAGTAGAAGATAGTCTTGCAACCATTCGTCTTGAATAATAGCAGCGGGATTGTTCTTCTCACATAAACTTTGATCAAAATCATTTAGTTTTTCAAACAAACCTTTGGTTTTATCAGCTGTATTCAATTGCCGAGTACTATTTTGAAATATCAAGCGTCGAACGATGAGCAAACAAGATGGTTGCTGTAGATCATGACTTGTTGACATTTCAAGACTGATCTTTAAGAATTCTTTTAAATTTGACTCAGAAAAACGATAAGAATATCGTTCGTCAGTCAACTGATGGCCGATGAAACCTTCGAATATATTTTCAAATATCCTCAGAAAACGTGGATGATATTCATGTTTGATTTTTTTCGTCATGCATTCTGTTGCAAATTTTGTGTAACGTAGAAAACTATCAATTGGTGCACCTGCTGTACGAATACTAAGTTTGGAAATAAGGTGTTTTTGAATTATATCATTCAGTTCACTCTTTGTGCTTAGATACATGAACATTGTCCATAGATCATCGAGATCCACACTGTTAGCATAAATTGTGAAATAAACATCAAAGACGCGATCGTGACGACCGATGATAGTGAATAAATCACCGATGTGTGAAAAGCAATAAAACTTTTCCTTAATACCACGTTCAAACAATGTTCGATATTGATCAAAAAATTCTTCAGTTTTGATATTTAAATCTTTGGAAAGGCGTAAGAATATTAGAAACGGCGATTCTTCAGAATGTTTGGACGGATGATTTTTCCGAATGAGTTCAATGAAGCCCGGCAAATCAAGTGAAAACTCGCGGAATGCCAATTCGTAAGTAATATAGTTAGAAATAAATTCCTGTATGGAAATTTTAAAATATTTTATATTTGATATAATAATTTTCCATTGTAGCCGATCATGTTTATCGATCACAATAGATGATTGAAATGATAATTTAATCAAAACAAAAAATGTGTCAATTGTTTTTGCACCAATTTCTGTCATTGCTATTAAGTACTGAACAATATTTATTTTTCGTAATTGTTGTTCGTCTTTTAAACAAAGATTCGGTTGTAGACCTTTACTTTCAATAAACACTCGAGACAATGATTGCAATAATTTCTCTTTCAATTGTTTAACATCGTTTTCCCAGCCTCGTATCCAATAAGCTGATTGTTTCACTATTCCGATATATTCTTCGATTCGACGATAAATATATAAATAGGAGTCGATACGATTCTGAAATTTTTTACACAGTTCGGTTGATGACAGACTTGCCATAGTACATTGAATAATGAAATCAACATCACTGGAGAACGATTTGTTTCCTACCGCGTTATTTTGTTGATCAAAATTTTCAAAACGTGCCAAAACCAAGTCAAAGAACAATTCAGCTTCATCATCTTCATCGAAAACATGGCTAACAAGAGTACACGGGGCACTCAAATTTTCTCGGCCGACAAATTTCTCGTAAAGCTTTTTTATGAAGCCCATCTCATCGATTGCTTTCAGATGAAACAAAAATCTAGAAATGGAATCACAAAAGTATGCCCATTGGTACTAGCTCTTGTAATTAACTGACAGTTTAAACATTTTATACATCAGAAAGTTAAAAAAAAAACAAAAAAAAAGCTGAATATTACTCGTGCATGTAGCAAATATTGTTATGAAGAATTCTTATCACAAAAAGATGTCAGTAAAAACACGTGTTACGGCAGTTAATACGAAGAGAATGTGAAAAATACCCAGACGAATGCTTGATGTAGTATGCTTCATTTTTTCTTTCCTTCTGATTGACTATAAAGGAAAAAAAGAAGGAGCCGATTTTCATAACAAGACAGATGCAACGCGTTGTGTGTAATTTTTAGAGAGAAAAGTTGTTTTCTTATGACGTAACGTTCAAAGAATGAGTATAATATTATTGTAAATGACATCATACTGAAGCATGGAGATCTTTTGACTTTTCACAAATAAAATGACCCTAATCTATATGGTTACAACAACTCTCATCAAGTATTCGCTAATGTTTACTTTACTCTAAATGCTTATCTATTACACTCATATCTGTGTTGTAATATCGGTTTGCGCAGAATAATTTGACCTATGAGTATTCTTGAAAAGTTTTTCTTTATTATTTCTTTGATTGAAACATCCTCTTTAATCAAAAGATAGCAATTGAAATTCTATACCAAATAGTACACTGTATTTAGTGAATATAGATTCCTCCAATTTTTGAATCAAGCATAATTGTACTACCCCATGTCGCCGCTTTTTTATCAACTGTGTCGCAGTTACGCGCAGAGCCAATTCTGCGTCGGAGTTACGCGTAACTATGGCGCATTGATTGCAGCGAAGATTTCTATAAGAAACTACGCTTACTGGGCCACAGATCAACGTAACTGCGTCCTAGTGATCGCATCCTACGATCCGTTGTAGTTATAAATGACCAATTATAACTTATTCCTCCTTATTTGTAATTGGCTACATTCGAATAATAAAACTTAGTCACAAAAAACCAGTACTTATAGCAGTGTTCGTCACATTTTTGTTCATAAGTCATTCTACTATAAGCAGTAGAATGCATATTTTTTATTTGTTTTAAAAATTTCTAGATTAAAATGTTTTCAGTTCAATTTTTTTTTAATTAATTTTTTTTCTTTTATATTAAATTATTTCAAATTTTTCTAACTAATTTTTTTTTTCTGTTATATATTAAATTATTACAAAAGGTTTTTAGATGTTAATTTTTTTATTTTTCTAGATATTTATTTTCCTTAAGTTTTAAAATAACAATTTTTTTTTAACTTTTAATTTAGTAGAGTTTGAAATTTTTTTAAGTTTTAATTTTTCAATTATTTTTATTGTGACAACTTGTAGTGTAAAAATTGTGTTTTTATTTTTTATAAAAATTTTAATTTACAGTGTTAAATTTTTTATTTTGTACGCAAAAGATTTTTTAAACAATAAAAATAATAAAATGAAAACATAATCTATGTTATCTTTTGTACCAATTGCGATGCCACTATGACCTATAATTGCAAAAAACTGACGCAATTATGCGTAACTGTGATTTTTTCACCGTAACTACGCGTAACTGCGATCTTTTCATCGTAGTTACGCGTACCTACGTCGTAATTTTCCGCAATTACGGGTCACAGTGCGATCGCAGTTACGGCGTAACTGCACCACAGTTTCATCGTAATGAAACACATGGGTACTGAATGAAGTACAAAATTTCAATTTTTCTAGTGGCAGGTTTTATTTGTTCTGTCAATAATTTCTTCGTTATTAAGTGGTCTTGATCGATAGCTTGACCAAGTTCAGTTCTTGAATTAAATCCAATGTTGAAAGTGTAGCTCTGAATTGTGCCAATAAAAAAATGAAGAAAAAAACAGAATCTGGCATCTATCTCGCGAGTCAAAACGCTATACAAATCATTTTTTAATTTGTTTTCTGAAAATCTGTTGAAGTCCAAATCAGTGTAATAGCAATCTTGTCTCGATAGGTGATACCCATGTTGCGAATACCGGGTCAATTTTTGCGGTAAACCGCAGTATTTATCCGTTCTGCGGTAATGGGAGCCGGTAACCGGACCGGTAAAACCGCGGTAAACCGGCGGTTTTTCGCGCATGTTTATCACATGTAAAAGTAAAAAAAAAGGATCTTTAAAATAGTTTAATTGATGATTCGGAAGACTTTTTCTGTCAAAAATTATAGATGAACCGGTTAACCGCTTTTTTTAGCGGTAACCGCGGTATTAATCAAAACCGACGGTTTACCGCGGTAAATGCCAGTTCATTTTTTGTGGTAAACCGCCGATTTTCATGCGGTTTTTATTACATGGGTATTTTATTGAATATAGTTGAATGTCTGAACTATCAAAAGTGGAACTCGATGCGTACAAGTATGTATTCGAAAATGTATCTTAAAAGGATCTGAATCAAGGTTTTCACAGTTGTGTCTCAACAAATTATTAGATATATATATATATCGAAAAATTAGAGAATTCAATCAAATGACTGAGATTGCTTAATTATTAATGGATTCATTTTTGGCTAGTCATTTAAAACATTTTAAAACTAGCTCCTCCCGTGCTCATGGTAAAGTCACAAGTCAGAGTTGCTTTCGTCAAACAACCACGTTCCCTAAAACATTTTCTTTGTAAAAAAAATATACAAATACAATCGTCTGTAAGTGAAGTAATAGCTGATCACCATAAAGCTTCTAATGTATCATTTGTCTTAAATATTTGTATCGCACCATGTTTCCACTGTTCTCCAATTATACAGTCACCCACGCGTTCACTTGATGAAAAGAAATAGTAAGATGCCCATCGTTTTGTTTTGCACTGGTCACAACCGAAAGGAAAATATGAAACACTTATGTGGTAAACTTGTGGTGTATATGAAACAATGTTTTGATATGCGAAAGTAGGAAGTAGCAAAATTAGAGTCACACGTCATTCACTCAGGTAAACATTTTATGTTAGACAAAAAGAAAAAAATATGTAACGCCTGTATAGATAAAGTAATACATTTTGCAGACTCACATTAAACAACAAGCATTTTGATATCGGCTGGTAAGTAGTCTTATTCGATCATCAATATTTTTTCATTAGCAATGTGTTTGATTTTTACAATATAGCAGTGTAGATAATTATGACAGCAAAAATGAGGAAAGATAAACATCCATTTTTGTGTTTAATATGAAGATATTGAAAAAACTGAGATAGAAAGTGTTACAGAGGCCCTGCTGTAACTTAAAGCAATTCACAAAATAGAAATTTATGTTTCTATTTAACTAATCAACAACAAATTTCCTATTTATACTATACAACCAACACACAAACACACAAGAGAGAGAGAGAGAGAGAGGGAAAAGAACAAAGGAAGAAAAGGCATTTGCTTTTTCAACTAGACTATTTTGTATATAAAGATGATGGTGCATCATTCTATAAATGCACTTAAATTCCAGTCGAAGAAACGATGGTACTATTTATGTCGTCACGCACAGGAGGACAGAAGACGCGATAGAGAGATATGCAGAGAGAGGAAAGAAAGAATGAAAAAAAGTGGTTGGCGTATGTGCATTTCGAGTTGGATTGCACATAGAAGAAATACATAACGTATAAAGACGAAACAAGAATAGATAAGAATAAATAAATAAATAACTTGTTAGAGTACTCTCTAACACCTTCGATAGGGCTTATGAAAATGCAGCGTATGTTACACCCTTTCAAAGTTGTTCAGTCGTATAAACGCTATGATAAACCTTTTTATTTCGTCTTTTGATGGGTAGATAAAGTGGTTGATCGCATGCTGCTAAACGGTAGAAAAGGGTATGTCATACGTTGTATTTTCATAAACGCTTTAAACGTTTATCATTCGGCGCTTTTTTTTATCAGTGCACTTTCGACTATAATCTTCTTTGTGACGGTTCATTTTCTTGTATACCGTTGCTATTTACGCTAGTTATAATTGGCATTTTTCTATAAATTAGAATTTCATTAAATAAGAGGAAAAAGAAAAGCAAGTTATACTTAATGTAAAAATGAATGAATAAAAGATAAACAAGAATATTTCTGAAATACATTTGCAGAAAAATATTCTTTCAGATTGTATATTGGATGTTTTATGTTAGATTCTCATATTGAAACATCTTATATTTCTGCATCCGAGAACATTAAACTCTTTTATATAAAAAGAATATAATTCTTGAACTCAATGCATTTATTTTAAACTAATATATCATTGTTTTTTTTTGTGTTAAATTCTCTCATTTAAAAAAATTAATTCATATCTAGTTTGATGAGTCAGAAATTACTTTAAACTTATCATTTTATTTTCAAGAAAAAATGATGCTGCTTAACAAACAAAAGTGATAAAGCCTTTGGACAAATCGACTCGTCCAAAGGTATGAAATTGAAAGATGATACATTGATCAGAAAAAAGTAGTCAAAGGACAAGTCGACTTGTCTCTTAAGGAAAAACTAGGGAAAAAATCTTCATGATTGTATTCAGATTGAAATAAAATTTTAGTACAGTTGTCTAATTTCTGATAAGGTGAATTACGATTATTTGACTGAATTCATTTTCAAATTCTAAACGATACAGCTGGTAGACATGTCATACGTATTACATTAGTTTGTACTATTCTGACACTGGTAAAATATGGACTCACTTTCATTGGTTTACTGTATTTTTCGTAAAAAACAATCGTAGACATAGGCTGCGTCGGCCTTCGACTTTTACTTTCGTCAATTATTATTACCCTACGAATAGAAAAGTGAAGAGGATATCCTTCGCTTTTCGTTTTCTTTATACTGAAGCAAAACAAACACCTATTAACTATCTTAGTTAGTACTTTATGATTCACATATATAAAGAAAGCCTTTTAATTTAATACAAAATACTCCAGTAGTTTTTATTTTAAATTCTTACTATCTGAAGAATATATAATGATTTGAACTCGTGAAGAAGTTGTTCAATGGTGTACATTATCTATTGATGCTGATGTTATTATTTCATGATTTGAAGGTCAGTTTTTTTATTTTCGTTGAAGAAAAACGTATGCTTTTCCTTATGATAATATATTCTCAGATAGTAAACTCCATGTAAATATACGTATATGTCGTTTGTTATGAAGTTATGCATGAGCGAATTGCAAGGGTATATCATGGTTTTATGATGCAAAAGTTTATTTTTTTGTTTACGCTTGTTATTGGTCTAGTATAATCATTTTATTTGTAAGCAGTTTCGATTAATATATATATATGTGTGTGTGTATTAAGAAAAAGTTTCAATTTTAGTTGATTTTGTCAAGAAAACAGTACTTGCAGAATATTTTACTTTTTCTTTGAAATCATCATGCCATCGTTTACATGTCCTCTTTGTCAAAATGGTCGCATGTTTGTAAACTTCGGAAAGTTTTTTCGACGTATACCAATGTTTTATCAAAATGAAGCTCGGTTTCAAATGACTTGCAAGTTGTCTTCAACATGTGGTGTATCTTATCGAACGTATTCGACTTTTAAATCGCAAATTTATCGTAATCATTCACATGAACTTCATTTAAAAGAAGAAAATGCTGATACTGTGTTAAGATCCTTGCTGCCAGGAATAGAGACGGAATGAATTCTGATGCAAATCTTTGTATTAATTTATTGAACAATGATGTCGAAAATGATTTAATGGAAATAGATAATGAGAGTGATTTAGATTCATTACAAGATGTTCAAGAAAAAAGAAATAACAATACAACAAATTCATTCAACTCGTCTGTTAGATGGCGTGAGTTTACGTATCGGTATCGTTAAAGAGATGCTCACACCCACACACTCACTTACCACCTGAGTTCTAATATAACTCCCAAACTATTCTATTATCTTTATTTAACCCCTTCACTGAAGTGAATATAATTGAGCTCCTCCATAGAGAATATATACGATTAGTTTTATTGGGATTAAAAATTGAAATGCAGTTTTGTTTTTGGTAATCTGGAGTACTTCGACTATTGCGATTTGTTTCGACATAAAATTTGAAGAGTATTTTAAGAAACGTTTTCGATTTTCAATACTCGAAAAGGTTTTCTACGAAACCCTTAATAATGCTGATTTCTTTTGGGGTTTTGTATGTACGAACAATACCTTTTAAACGTATATTAAAGTAACACGGAACATTTCAAGTCCTATATGATACCTTTTTCTACATTATGCTTAATTTCAGATTCCGATAATCATGCTACCATTGACTTTTGTCAACCTTTAACAGAATCTGGTACTCGTTAAACAAACAAACATACAGGCACGTTGCATGTTTCATACAGAAATTGGCTCATCCGAAATATTTCAACATGAGAACATTCAATAAACTAAAAGAAGGGAAAATAATAACACTGCTGTCATTATTAATGAACTTTGCATTATTAGCCTATATTGGCACCAAATATTCAAAGCCTTGTAACGGAGTTTCAACTAGAGGCACGAATACATCAAAGGTTGTGCCTTTTCTTGAAAACTTTGATCAGTTCGAAAGATTACAAGCAGATGACTTATCTGGAAACTTGTTATCGATAAAAGATTTCAACGATGAAATTTATGAATGGGACGTTTGTAAGTCTATCAAAAAGAAAATTCCTATGAATTTAATTTCAACATCTGCAAATAGTACACCAATATACAAAGCGGTGAACTACTGTAAATTTAGAGCGTTGTCCGAGCAACATTTTCAATTTCAATTTTTCAAGAGATATTCTCCATCATGTACGCTTAGACATTTTGCTTGCGTCTTATTGCCACCAAAAAATTATCAATGGCTTAGTAAATTTGTAAGCTTTCCTGCGCTTCCGAACCAAGTGGCTGTGCCATGGTCGAATTTGGGACTGGATTCATGGAAAGATTTGATACAGTTTAATCCCGAACATCCAAAAAACATGATTCATTTCAATGCTTCTTACTATGATATTTTCCATGAGGGAAAGATAAACGTAGCGGCTCAATATATCCCATTTGGTAAAAAAATACGTTCAATGTTGGAAATTGGTGCTGGCGGTGGTTCCGTCTCTTTTATATTAAAAAAACGATATGATGTAACTGTTTTGAATACCGCTCTTCCGGATTTTCCTTATTGTGAATATATAACTGAAAGAGGCGGTTTATGTGCTTTTCTGGATGGTGAAAAAGTGCTGCCTTTCGCTAAATTTAGTTTTGATGTGATTCATCATTCTTGGGTATATCATGGACTGACACCTGCTCGATGGAGAGAGGTTTTATTAGAGCAAAATAGAATTTTGAGACCTGGAGGATATCTATGGATATCCGATGGTTTATCATATGCTCAATTAAAGACAATCAAGTACTTACTTTTACACCAACTAGGTTACAAAGTTTATATGAAGATGAAATCAAACGAAAATCCATAACAACAACCTTTTCATCGAACCCTTACGAAGTTACTTGGGAGTCGATTCTGGTCAAACCTAATACCTTGAAAAAGGATCTATCTCAGTGCAAGTGATTGTATAATAATCGATTATTTTATCTCCACTATTCTTATGAACTTCTCTGGACAATAAGCACAACATTCCAAATGCATCACGGATGTAGGTGCGGGATAGGTAGCCATGACGCGTTGCGATCTTCCTTAAGGGTCTCATCAGATCGTATGAACTCTATTTGATTACTTCAAAACTTTCAAGAATCAACAGGATTTGTTTTATTTATCCTTTTATATATAGAACAAAACGTTTTAACAAAATTTCAATATATTGGGATAAATTTATTTCACTGTCAAGTGAGATAGGCAGGGCGTGGGGTGTGAATATATCTTGAAGAAAGATACTCACGGATTTACATAGCCAAACTCGCATAATGAGATAGGTTCGAAGTAAAAATATCACATGACGACAATGAGTGTACGTGAAAAGGCACAGCTGATTGGAGGTTCAATTACAACGGTAAAGTGAGGAGACGTGACCGAACTCCGCGAGTTCTAAGCCCTCAGAATCCTGTTGGCTAACTGATATCATACGAACCAAGTAGCTAGGGAAGTTCTTTCGCTGGTGGCACTACGATGCGTTATGGCTGACGACAAGAATGACCGTTTCTTCGACCATGCACACAACCCTGCATCGTAGAAGAAACCACACCCCCGCCCTCAACATCCCTATGTGGAAGCATGAAAAAAGAGACACCACAGTGTATGTACACTCACGTTGATCGCTGCATCTCTTCTCGTGCTTCTTAATTTCTTTCTCATTCTAATCTCATGCTAACAAACTCAGAGTTTCATTATATTTCCTGCAATGTTACTGTAATAATGATAGACTTTCAAAACTAATGTCCGCCTCAGCAGGTAACTAATTTATGCATAATGGCAGCAAAATACCAAAGTATTAAATTATGATTCTTTTTTTTAAATATCATGGATTCGTATAAACTATTTTAATGATGAAAATTTTCTGGTTTTATCGAATGATCCATAAGAAGAACATTAAGGCCAATGAAAAAGTGTATTGTTTTTTTAGTATTTCTCAGTATTAATTATATTTTTATATTTCCAATTATGAATTTTAATTTATTGTAAATTAGAAAATCATAGATTCGGATGTTCTTCTGCATCATAGTTATTACTACACATAATAGATCGTTCAGTCTTTCGCCCTATTTAATATGGAACAAAAAGCAACGTGATTTTAACTATATGTTATTTATTTTCTGTATGAAAAACGAAGAGTGAAATTTTCACAATGTTATACCATTAAGATCATTTTATTTATTAACTATCTATCATGTTGGTAATTAGAAAAGTGAATTAGAACAAAATATACCATGTTTCATGAGATTATTTTTGTTTTGACTATTGTAATAGCAGCATCAAGATCATTACTATCTATGTAAATAATGGGAACGTTCCTTAATTAGAAGAAGTCTTACACCAAGAGATCGGAATCAAAAGCGAAATTTCTTAAATGATAGGCCATATTCGATTCTATAACCAGCTACCAATATGGTCTATTTCTAGTCGGCATCATACTCAAATCGAGTATTATGACGATCAGAAACAATTTTACACTACCAAGAAAGTTAACGTTTGTTCATGATACATCGAAAAAATGGACGTTTACATCAGTGCTTCTTTGGCGTGGGACATCTTTACTAATGGACAAACATTCAAACCCCCTGGTAAAATAATTAGGATCATTAAATTTCAACAATGACTGACATCAGTTCCTGCAAGTTGTCGATTAGGTACAAATTCAATTGTGTAATGTTAATTATCAGTACTGCTCTATTACTTGGTATATTAATGATTGCTACATGTAATATCTACCAGAAATCACTTATTTTATTTCTAATAAACTTTTATATGCAGAAGGTTTTTAATGTAAAATATTTTATTTTAATATAATTTGAGAATTTTCGATCTTAAAAGATTGTTCTCAACCTTATATCATAGCCTTAAAACAGATGTTAAAAGGCAAAAAAGAAATAAAAAATACAGATAATGATGCATTTGTCAACTACATGTACTTATTTTTAACATCATGAACATAAAGAGCATAATCTAGATTTTCACAATAAAATCGATTGTAATTTAAGATAACTCAATGGAATCATATTGTACGCAACTCATTAAAATTATCATCAATGAGAATTAAATTTGTTCCACGTATCCATGCCTACTTTCATATAACTCATGCTTGCATTTCTACTTGTTAGGTAATAACTATTTATAGACGTGATAGTACATGCTATTTTAATTTAATATCTAATAAACTAAATGTGTTAGTGAGTCTTTTCTACATTATAACAGGCAATATCCACATCCACACCTATTATAAATGCCGATTATCATCTAATGCCCCTTGTAGCTGAAAATCACTTGTTATTCTATGAGGAAATCAGAATCGGTCTATCGAACTTTATTAACTTTCCATGCAATCAAATGTCTTTCCTATGAATGTGTTTTTGCAATGCCAACCCATTCAAGTGCCCATTGGTGTTGATATGCCGCCATAAGCATATATTCTGTTGCTGATCCGAGATCCCAGTAAGCTAGATGCACGTCAAATCCCATTACTGAAGGGCTGTAGGCGGTCGAAATGCCCACGGTAGCCCAACGGGTTGAATTTCCAGTCAAACTTGTCAAATAAGTAGGCGTCGAGGAGAACTCACATTGACTCGTATTGACGTGGATGTAAATTCCAGATCTAAGCCCTGTATGCCGCTGAAATTGAGTGTGGTTAACACGGCCTGTACACAGAAGGAGTCGTTGCTCGAGTTTCGCTACGCAATCTGATAGTGCCTGCAGATGGTCAATAATAGTTACTGGAGTACCACCCACCACACTCACAACTACCAGTAAAAAGACAAGCCACATCGTTGGTTTGTTAGTGACTGATCACTATTCGGTTTATATATAGCACTGTTATGGTCGAAGTGTCCCCCTTCAATCATAAGACAAAGCAAACGAATAATACACGCTCCTTTCTAATATAGTGGTAGTACAGCTGCTCGAAAAACAGAAGACGCTGGTTCGATTCCATCGGAGGAAGATTATCCTTTTGTTTCGTTCTGTTGTCATACCATCACGTTGCTGTCTCGCTGATAACTGAGTTTAATAACGTGAGAGAAAAGAATACATAACAAGCACCAAACGTAATTGCCTTTCAAACGAGCACGATGCGAATATATCCTCTGTCAACAAATATTGGATTTCTCCTCAGTAGTCTTAGATTCATTTTGAAGTTACATTCGAAATGTGATACGGTGATTGACAGAAAAAAAATAAAATTTCAGATGTATGACATAATACTTACGAAATGGCGTACTTAGGACGCACCCATAATTGAAAATCGAGAAGGTACCATCACTCATTGTTTCATACATTTTTCTTCGATTTCCCTTAGCATGGGAGTTTGCCTGTGAGTGTGGCTGGAAAGAGCACATTCAAAATCACACCCATAATTCTACTGGATTATCTCAAGAAACTTCGAAGTAAGTAGAATTACAGGCAGGCGATTATGAGTGTTAGACTTAGTTATATACGACAAAATTTTTCACTATTTAATCAGCATTAGGCTATTCTTTTATATGACAATTTTTTAATAATTTCATTACGAGAAGCAATCGTATTTTACGGGGTATTGTTAAAATTTAATTTAAAGCAAATATTTAAACCAATCGATGAATCTACATTACGGAGGTCGACCACTGAATCAGAGGTCGAATTGAGACAGAGAAAATTTTCGGCTAGTCAGAACAAATAGTCTAATAGTTAAATAATTGAATTCAACTTTCAACTTTGACATTACTGGAACCTACGCCAAATGTTGTAAGATGAGTGGAAAAACATTGTGTTTGATAAAGATTAGTCAAAGGTCCAACCTAGATTAGGCAAAAACTTCTATCTTAACCGATGAAAATCTTCTTGCGAACTCACTAGTAATCCATCCGATTTCCAATTATTATTTTCATCGAGATAGTAGCAACCTGATGTGTAAATACGTAATTCATAGTTCGACGAGAAAGTGGCATGTTCATCGAATCGAGGCGGTCTATCGCCAATCAAATTATTCGAACACAAAACATCCATTTCAGTTGTGTTTAATTCTCTCAGGCCAAAAACTACTGATTCATGATTGGATATGTGCTGATTATTGATAAAATGTGTGTACAATTGCTCATTGGTCAAATCTGAATATGAAATTTATTTTTAACATTCGAAAAACATCGAAACGAAATAACTCACTTAAGGGACAGTAAAGAGACCAACCATCTATTAGGTCAATTGTCTTGCCCAATTGAGGTTGATCATTAAATCTGTAGATGAATAAATAGCCCAATGAGTTATTCAGAGGACGTATTTCAATATGAAGTGATATAGTAAGATTTTTATTAGTTCGAACTTGTGTGATATTGATAATGTGCATATTAAACGGTTGTTCACAGTATATTCCAGCAACATTTTGTAAGAACATATCTGGTAGAGGCATATTAACGTCACGAGGAATGATTAATTCGATTGGATTGTTAAAACTTGTTTGAATGGAAATATCGTTACCGTGCTCATCGATTATTGACAATGAGATGGATGTGGAAAGATTGGTATTCACCTGAGACGAAGATTCCCCAACTGAAGCCAACGGTTGCATAATCGATTAGAGCATAAGATAAGTGTGCTTTTCTATACTATTTGAATCAGTTTTTTGTTTTGACAATAAAAAATAATAATCAAATTAGACTCAATCGTGGGTGTGGGTTTGGTGTGAATGCGGATGAATGATAGTGCCCCACCCACATACAGCATGAATTCGTTCTGCTATATGGTTGATGAGTATATATCATCTTCTATTTCATCGCTGATTACATTGAAAAAGCATGTTGATAAGTCCTGGAATCCATTGATCAATCGTTTATAAAACGTGCCCGAATTTTGTCGGTTGACAGTTGACACAAGGAACATTCACTGGGATGGAAATAGATGGAAACAGATCATCAACGATTATTTAACTAAATTATAAGTTGTTCGATTAAAACGATGACAAAGAACAAAACGTCGATCAATATTGATAGATGCCATTGACATCCGAGTCAGTGGATACAAATACTGATAGTTTCATAAGAAACTATCTGAGGTTCTGCTAGAATAAATGATTCGTTGTTGTTGTTTGTAGAAAATCCTTTGCAGTTCAGATAACTGCAGATGCAGACAGATCCTGATGGTTTCATGCTAAGCCATATGAAACGTTGCAAAAATACGTGCAATCAGTTCGATAAATCTTTTTTCTGAGGGCGCAATCGCGCGCTGCACACAGATTTCATGCATCCGAAGTGGACGGTTGCTGATGAGTTCTACTCATCTGACACAGAGAAGCTCGAACTGTATCCTTTTGGATTATTTTCAATAAAGCTAAATGATTACCTGTTTGTGTCCTCAATTGATATGCTCCCTTCCTAGATACTGATGAAGTGGACACTTCAGGCAAAAGCCGCGCAGTTCAATAGGGTTTTTGTTTTTCATTGTAGCTCGGTACGATGACCTCTCACGTTTTTACTGGATAAAAACGATGAAGAGTACAGAAAAGTACTGACTCGATTTAGCGAGTTCAAATATTATTCCAATCAGAAGAAAACCTTACTACCATTTTTTACAGACATTCGGACTCATCGGTGGCGGTGATCATTCGTGAGTGTCATTGTCTATATCCCTCTCCGTGAAATAAATGTTTGCACTCACACCCTCGCGGCGAAAACATGGCCATGAGTGAATAATATTGGTCATATATTTTTATCTCAAAATGTCCGCTCTTGATTTATGATAGCTGTCCTAGCTAACATCAAAGTAATTCCTAATTGATTTCTGCCAGTTCCGTCACCACCATCTCCCCAATAAGAATCATTAGCTGTATGCTCAATGATCATACTATCTCCAGTTAATAATAATAATTCTTTCAATTTGGGATGCTGCTGAAATTTAGCCATACACGCCTTGAGCATAACTTCGTTTTTCACATGGTGCCAATCGGGTCGTACTGTGGAAGAATGTGCTCGAGAATAGTCTATCGTTTCTTGGGGCGTAGTTAGCTGTGAGATGCATTCGAAGTGAGCTTGGTCGAAAACATATTTCTGAGCTTGAAAATAGTGTTCAACTGTGGGCCATGTACGTCCATCAAGCTCCATGGGAGCAGGATACCAATTACAAAATTCGGCATACGGTCCATTTAGGTCGTAAAAGTTAATACGCATTGAAGTACCACCGCTATTGATGTGAATGATGGCTGTAATAAATTGATGGATTGAAATATTTTGCAGTTAAAAAATTCGTGCTTAATATTTCTTCTTTACGTTGTATGTTATGATAGTTGAAATACCATTCGTCACTGCAAGAGACAAATATAATGAAATGCGAATGCCTAGTTTATCAAAATTTAATAGTGCCTATAGAGTGACTTATTATATTTCGAGCGAATGCGGTCTCTTCTTATATGAAAATAATCTGCCTATTGCCATAATTACTTCCTTTCGCACTGACTCTTTCTGTGGTGATATAATAATTCAGCTTACTGCATTTAAAAGTCTTTTTTTATTGACGCTCGCTGCGAGCAAACACGTTCGTAAATATTAATTTTTCTACCGTCAGCATGTCTTTTTTATTATTCATACACAAGTATTTTCGTTCTCTCACCAATACAGACCACCAAGCGAGACATTGTTCTTCGAGCTTTTCTCTTTTGCGCTGTCATCGCCTTAATGGTTATTTTTCAGGCACTCTCGTGCTTCTGTTGGTATCTGAAATGTGCTAACGAGTTCTCGAATCACAATGGGTTTTCTACAACCTACACAATACCAATATTTACACAGATTGAATAGCGTTCTTTAAATACACTGATTTCCTTTTGCTCTGACTCAGATCCTATTATGGAATTGTTTTCTCACATATTGATCATTCAGAATCACCCCTATCAGTCAGGCATACTTCTAATCTGCCGAAGCTTACCAGCCGATCTCATAGCCTTCGAGGCCTCAATCGAAATTGTTACACACGGCTTATGCTGTCAATGTTAAAACAAGCCAAGGTTGTGCTCTATCTACATATCACTATCGTCTGTACAGATCTCATCTGGCTATACTAACGAAGGTGTAGATGTGAGTACGCCGGTATCAGTCTGTCTGTGAGTGAGTATTCATTCTAGCCATACACCATGTCACAAAAACCGCATGAAAATCGGTGATTTAACGCAAAAATGATCAGGTATTCCCAACATGGGATAAATACACAAATAAGAAGTCATATTTCAATTGACAAAATTGTCACGCGATACCATCCATGCCGCTTGAACAAGAAAAGGAATGTCCGGCGATAGGAAGAAGAAAACGAATGCGCATACATTAGAAATTAGTTTATAGAAATGTCATAAGAAAGAGTAATACATCGCATAAAGACGCACACTCTTCTACATGTTTGCTTAGTCGTCTGTTTCAGACACTCGCCGTGCACAGAGAGAAGCACATGAAAATTTGTGATCAATTCAAGTTAACTGAGATTTTTTTTCTACTCCATCATCTCTCTCAGTTGCCGTCTTCAACAATTTCGTGCGCTAAAGACACGTTGAAATTTTTCTTTTTGTTACTCTTTTCTTTTACATCGAAGCTTTTCTCGTCTATCAAGAAAGACAGATTATAATCTATACCGAAATAAGCGAAAAAAAAGAAGAAACAACACAATCCACAGCGGAGAAAGAAACCTGCAAACGACGCAAAAATCATACATACGTTCGAGAGACGACGAGACATACTCTCGAATCAGTCGCCATCTTCTTGCACCATAAAAGACGGCACCAGGGTGTGGGTATGGGTACAAACTCGTCTTATTTCCATCCGCACTCACGCCCACATGCATATTATGACATCTAGTTTGATTTCTTACAAATAATTAATTTTTATTTATTTTCGTTGCTGTATCCTTTTTCGCATAAATGTGCGAAAGAAAAATTAACAAAAGCCAAAAATTTAGCAGAACAAAGAAGGATGTGCACGAACAAATAATCTAGCACATGTGCAAAAAAAAGACAATTACATGAATTAGTAGCTTAGCACACACAAGAAAAACAAGTACATGAGCAATTAATCTAGCACACTATATTTATTGAACGCTTTTTGTTTATTCTTTGCATTGCTCATCTTTTTATTAATTGTGGTGAACTCAGGCGGATAAATCAGATCAGATTCTTGACGGTGTGGATGCGAAACAAGACGAGTTCGGACCCACACCCATCCTTACAAAAAATTTTATTAATAATAAATAGAAGTTAGAAAAAAATGAATCAAACAAAACAATGCAAAGTGGAAGCTTCAATATTAACAAGTCTGTAAGAAAATTTTTAAGTTGTCGGTACCTTCATTAGATACTGCGAAATCCAGCTTTCTGTCATTGTTGAAATCATCAACGGAAACCGAGAACGGAAGAGCACCATAACCAATGGAAAACATTTTTATATCTACGAATAATCCGTTACCATGCCCAAGCAATAAACCAACTTTGTTGATGCCATAATTGGCAATGATAATGTCTAATAACATGTCGTTATTAAAGTCTCCAACGGCAACTGCATTAGGCTCAGATTCAGATCCAGTCGTAAACGTCCTTTGACTTACAAAAGAACCATTACCATATCCAAGAAATATGCCAACACTGTTATCGCCACGATTAACAACGACCAAATCCAGTATGTTGTCCTGGTTGAAATCGCCAACTGCGATAGAAATAGGATTAGAGCCAGTTGTAACTGTTGTTTGATTTGTGAAATGAAAATTTCCCTGTCCCAGAAAAATACCCACCGTGTTAGTGGCCGAATTTGCAACTACAATGTCTATTTGGCCGTCATTGTTAAGATCTCCAATAGCTAATGATCTTGGTCGCGATCCATTGCCAGTGATGAGTGTCATTTGATTTTGAAAAGCTAGATTGTGATATCCCAACATTACGCTTACAGTCCAACTCACAAAATTAGCAACAACGATATCCAGTAATGTGTCGTTGTTGAAATCACCGACAGCAACAGATTGTGGGTAAGAGCCAGTTGAGTACGCGATTTGGTTTTCAAAATAGCCATTCCCATATCCAAGAAGGACACCTACAGTGTTGTCGTTTGCATTAACAACCACAATATCCAACCGGTTATCATTGTTAAAATCACCAACACTTGCATAGATTGGATTACGGCCAGTTGAATATGTATTTTGTTCTGCAAAAGAGCCATTGCCATATCCTAGAAGTACACTGACAGTGTTGCTATCACCATTAGCAACGACGATGTCGAGTCGTGTGTCGCTGTTAAAATCACCAACGGCAACAGATTGTGGGGAAGAGCCACTTGTGTACTCCATTTGGTTTGCAAAAGAACCATTACCATATCCGAGAAGTATACTTGTATTATTACCTTTCACATTAGCGACGGCAATATCCAGTCGCGTGTCGCTATTAAAATCACCAACGGCTACAGATTGTGGATAAGAGCCAGTTGAATATATCGTTTGGTTTGCAAAAGAACCGTTGCCATATCCAAGAAGTATACTCACAGTATTATCATAACTATTAGCGACGACAATATCCAGTCGCGTGTCGTTATTAAAATCACCAACGGCTACAGATTGTGGGTAAGAGCCCGTTGAGTACATCATTTGGTTTGAAAAAGAGCCATTGCCATATCCAATAAGTAGACTGACAGTGTTGTTTTTACTATTAGCGACGACGATATCTAGTTGGGTGTCGCTATTAAAATCACCAACGGCTACAGATTGTGGGTAGGAGCCAGTTAAGTACATCATTTGTTCTGAAAAAGAACCATTACCATATCCAAGAAGTACACTTATATTATCACCATACGCATTAGCAACGACTATGTCCAACAGGGTGTCTTTGTTCAAATCAGCAACAGTTACACATTTTGGCGAAGAGCCTGCCGAATATAACATTTGATTTGTAAAAGAGCCGCTTTCATATGCAACAAGTACGGCTATATTATCAGTGCCATCATACGCAACAACAATGTCTGAACGACTGTCATTATCAAAATCGCCAGCACCAATGAACAATGGAAGAAACTCATAATTACGATCATGATTATCTTGAATTTGAAACATTCCATTTCCATTTCCTAGGAATAATACTATGCTGTTGGTACCACGAACGGTCACTGAGATATCCGCTTGACCATCTGTATTAAAATCACCAATGGCAATTGTGTAAGGATGAGAATTAAGGCCCATTGAGAACTGAAGTTGGTTTTCAAAAGTACTTTTGTCATGTCCAAGAAAGACACCTATTGTATTTGTACCATAATTGGCCACAATCACATCCAATAAGGCATCATTGTTGACGTCAGAAACGACAAAGCCTCGCAAAAGAGAGCCATCAGCAGCTGCAAATGAAATTTCCTTTCCCAGAGCTCCAATGTCATAGCCAAGCAAAACACTGATAGAGTAGTCACCATAATTGGCAGCGACGATATCCAATCGAGTATCATGGTTAAAATCACCAGCAACCAGAGAGTATGGGTAAAAGCTAACTGAATATGCTGTTTGTGCTGAAAAAGACCCATTGCCATACCCAAGAAGTAGGCTTACAGTGCCGTCACCAGCATTAGTCAGGGCGATATCCAAATGAACGTCTTTATTAAAGTCATCAACAATTACAGAAGATGGATAAGCACCAGTTAAGTACACAATTTGTTCTGCAAAAGAACCATTACCATATCCAAGAAGTACACTTACAGTGTGGTCGTTGTAATTAGTCACAACGATATCCAATTGGGTATCACTATTGAGATTGCCAACAATTATAGAGTATGGCCTTGAACCGGCTGAATATAGAATTTGTTTCGCAAAAGAACCATTACCATATCCAAGAAGAACACCTACCGTTTTGTCATCACTATTAGCGACGACGATATCCAATCGCGTGTCGCTATTAACATCGCCCACGGCTACAGATTGTGGGAAAGGGCCAGTTGTGTACGCCATTTGGTTTGCAAAAGAACCGTTACCATATCCAAGAAGTACACTGACAGTGTTGTTCTTACCATTAGCGACGACGATATCGAGTCGTGTGTCGCTATTAAAATCACCAATGGCCACAGATTGTGGATAAGAGCCAGTTGAATATATCGTTTGGTTTGCAAAAGAACCGTTACCATATCCAAGAAGTATACTAACAGTGTTGTTATCCATATTAGCGACGACGATGTCGAGTCGTGTATCGTTGTTAAAATCCCCAACGGCAACAGATTGTGGGGAAGAGCCAGTTGTGTACTCCATTTTTTTTGCAAAAGAACCATTACCATATCCAAGAAGTACACTGGCAGTGTGGTCATCACTATTAGTGACAACGATATCCAGTCGCGTGTCGCTATTAAAATCACCAACTGCTAGAGACATTGGAGCACGGAGAATTAGATATTCCGTTTGATTTTCAAAGGTGACATCGCCTAAACCAAGCAGAATACCTATGCTCTCCGTGTCATTGTTGATAACGGCAACATCTAAACGACTGTCTCGATTGAAATCACCTATAGCTAAGAAGATTGTAGAATAAGATCCAGTTGCATACGGTATTGGATTAGCAAAAGAGCCGTTTCCATATCCGAGAAGTACAATAATATTGTTAGTACCATTATTGGTCGTAATTAAATCCATTCGGTTGTCTTTGTTGAAGTCACTAATTCCAACTGAATATGGAGAAGCAGCTCCTAGTGAACATGTTATTTGTTTTCGAAAAGTTCCATCACCATTACCCAGAAGTACCCCTAAATTTTGATCCCCGTGGTTGGTGACGGCAATATCGAGTACAGTGTCATCATTTAAATAGCCAACGGCTAATGAATATGGATGTGAATTAGGACCAGTTGAAAGCGTACTTTGTTTTGAGAAAGTACCGTTACTACTTCCGACGAGTATAACTACTGTGTTTGTACCATAATTAGCGACAGCAAGATCCATCTGATTGTCATTATTAAAATCACCGCTGACAACCGCAAGTGGAAAAGAATCAAAGTCCGTAGAATATGTGCTTGGGTTTGCGAAGCTTCCATCGCCATGCCCATAAAATATGCTAACACTTTGTGTGCCGTAGTTTGCGGTAACGATATCTATCGTTGTATCATTGTTAAGATCTGTCACATGGATCCAAATGGGACGAGATGATGCAGTTGAAAGTGTTGTTTGATTCGCAAAAGACTCATATTGAAATCTCATAAGCACATTTACACTGTTGGTACCAAAATTTGAAACAGCGGCATCCAATCGGCCATCTTTGTCGAAATCGCCAACAGCGACCATGCATGGTGCAGAGCCTGAACCGGTCGAGAATGTGATTGAACTTTTCATGCTACCATTGCCACATCCAAAATAGATTGCAATATTGTCAGCAGCATAATTGGCAACAACAATATCTGGCCAATTGTCATCGTTGAAGTCACCGATGGCGAGAGATCGAGGATGGTATTTATAATGAATCAGGTCTGGAATCCTTGGCGTGAAGTTGATATCGCATTTTGGAACTAAGACAGACAAAACATACAGAATAACGACTGATCATATCCTCTGGTCTATATGTTCTTAGTGCATTCTATCAGTATTCCATAATTACTGTTAAATTCTACTAAATTTGATCGGATTATTGTAAACAGATTTGAATGAATAACAATAATTTATACTAGGATCTCTTTTAATCTCGGGAAGCTCATCGCTAAGAGTACTTGTCATGCGCTTTTCATAATTACTCAAGAATCATAGAGGATGTGGGCGTGGGAGTCGGTTTCCAAGAGATGCATGCCTGAGTTTCACACGCCTCTATACTCATACACAATCACTGTAAAAAAAATTCACAGAATAATGAACGGGAAAAACGTTTATGATTTGGAAAAGGGTTTTTCAGATATTTTAAAAACGGAAGAAAGGGTATGTGTCACGTTGCACGTTTATAAACCCTTTTTTTTACAGTGATCTCAATCCCAAAATCATACCCGCACCTACATCCACACTCGAATGTAATCAGGAGATGAGAACTCATTAGAGAATCCAAAAGAGGATACTCCACATCCGTCTTCAGAAAGAAATAAGAAGAAAAAGAAAATATCTAAGTTTACTAGAGAAGATAAGGCATACACATTTTTTAGACAATAAAAAAGATATATAGGCACTAAGCAGCCTCCTTACTATACATATATTGTATTTATTATCTGCTTCCTATTACGTTGAGGTAACACAATTATTTTAGCAATGTAATATGAAAAAATCATTTGTATATTTTCTTATACTTTTTTGAATATCTGTTGCGTCCAAAAACATTTCGATGAGATAAAGAAAAATAAATTTTAAATAGGTTTCTGCTTCTGTTCAAAGATATTAAAATGTACTACAGAAACTTCTGTCCTTCGTGTGTAGAACATTGAATACGACAAAGTTGATACTTCTGCAAGAGAGACGCCCACAGGGTGATTTTTTGTGCCCTGCTGAGCTGGCATACAGAGAATATCTTTGAACCGGATCCGAGTATTTCCTGAATGAATTAATTCCAAACAGCTTTCCAAAAAATGCAACATACTTTTGACGCAGAACATGACAGGATCTACCCAGCCCCTATATGAATTCTACGGAAAAACTACCTGATAGAAAGTTAAAATCCAGAAAAACCATACGAACTGAACCAATTTTGGTAAAATCTATGGTGATTCACCCAGAAGAACGTGACAATGACTCATATTATTTTCCGTGTAGATCTTGTCGTACTCTATCGATTAGGCACGGTTTGAGCTCGATTTAACATTCCCCACCAATAGAAATCAGGTCTAAATTCCTAGGTTTTTTTACTAAATTCTTTCGTGATTGTGCAATAGCAATATCCCGAGGTAGCCACAGTGGTTTCTATACAGATTTTCACCCGCTCTATCGACAGGAAGCCACTGCGACTATGTTGAAAAATTCTTCCTGGCCAATCGCGACGCGATTTAGCAAAATCGGTTGAGTTTTGTATGTTTTTTGTGACTTTCAGTTTTTAGGAAGATTTTGAGTACGATTGGTATCTGGGCTGAATAGAGCTCAGCGAGTTCTACTTGGGTAGTAAGTTTTCCTTGTTCGGTAGTCCTTTGGAGTAATTCATTCTGAAAATATTCGAATTTTTCATTCTTACTTAAGATATCCTACGTCTTTTATGGTCACTATTTATAATTATCTTGATTCTACCGTGTTCATACGGTGGTCAATATAAATCAAAAGTTCTGCGTACCAGTTGCTGTCGCTCTCTGGAGTCTATTTTTATCTTTGATGGTTCGAAACTAAAAGTATTTATTCAAAACTGAAATTCAAACAACTGACTTTTTACCCTTCAGGGTACGACTCCCACCCTGACTTGTCCTGTCCTGCTTCAGGGCAGGGTAACCCTGACCTATGGACATCTCTATTCTGCAATCTGTGACACAGACTAAGATGAGCTTACACAAAAAACCAATTTCGTATCAATGTTCAGCTATTGAAATAGGGGGAAAAAAGATGCAAAACAGTATTTTCTTTTGTTAAACATTTTTTAATACTTGTTTCTCTCGAATAAAAGAGACAACACGATAAATGAGTGAGCATTTTTCTGTACACTGTATACTACCAATGAGTAAATTATACTCTTAAACAAAAGATATCAGTTGATGAGATTCCCTTTTAAGAAACCGTTTCTTTCTTGCTCTTTACTAATATCACTGGATTCTGTTTATGGGCCAATTATCAATTCTATTATTGATGATTACTTTAAATGGTTCGCTCATCAATGCTAATTTGAAACTGGAAAGTGAAGCAGTTTGAGTGATTGTTTATCTGCCTTTTACTGATAATTTTCTTCAAACATTTAGATCTTAAATGTCGTTTAAAAAGTCGATTTTTTTAAACTCAAAACCGCAATAATTTCAAAAATGATCCAGTCTTATTCTGGATGTTTATTGTATTGAATATGAATTATGTAAGGCAAGAATGACCTACCTGATTGTTTTTGTGCAGTAATACAAATTATCAGTATACCGACGGCCATACTTATAATTGTTAATATCGGATATATGAAGAAAGGCTTTTTCGTGAAATTTATTATTGCCCAGAAATAATGGTCCCTAGTAAAAAGCAACAACAAACATATTTGTTATGCAAATAAAAAGTCATACATAGTCGCTGAGCTTGTGGAATTTCCTCTTTGATCAATCATGCTTTTTTATAATGGTAAATAGGTTTGGTTGCTTGTTTACATTGGCGAAAACATCCTTCGTAGAACGCCAAAACTTGATCGAATCCGCTTTATTATGAATAGGAGCTACCCAAGTGAGCAAAAAAATAGGGAGGACGGGCGACATGACTAGTCCGAAAAGTCTGCTATACCCGTCAAGTCTAGTCTAGTGCGTCTTCCATATCTATTGTGACTAGTCCGTATGTCCTTTTACCCGTCTAGACTGATCTGTTTATTTATTTACCCCCACCTGGACTAGCCCATAGCAGGGGAAAATATTGTGAAAAAAGGAAGAAGAAAGTTAGATTCGAACATTAGAGACACTTATAATACTATTAAAAATCAGGCTGGCGTCTTGACGGCAGTCCATAATACAGTAAGCCTTATGTCTATGTATATATTCTAAAATGCAAATGGGTGTCTTCCATATACCATGCGTGCAAAAATCACTTGAGGGAAACTGATTCTCACTACCCAAAAATCCCTTTAACCGTAGTTAGAAGGACTGTTCCTAGGATCGCAGGGGNTTGTCTTGTTTTAATCATTAATTTAGCAATTCAGCAGGAATTTTATTCAACAATTTTTTCCTCCTAATATTTAGATAACCCGAGTTTTCATTTCATTTTATTCAATTTCGTCCGAATAATTTTTGAATTTATAAAAAAATATTTTTTATTCATATGAAAAATTGAATAAAACTTAGAAAAAGTTCGTATTCTAAAGCATCTTAGAATGACTAGAAATACTGATAAATTGATCTCTCGATCAAATGGTTCAATGGTCTGAACGATGGGTAAGTAATAGTTGGTATGTGTGTTCGAATCTAGTTGTAGTCATAAAATAAATTTCAGTTTAGACTAGTCAGGATCTCGTCATTATATAAGACCACAACTCGTCATGTAAAACATCATGGACGCTCTTACTTTTATTTAGAATCATATTTTTGACGGGCGTCACGATGCCCTAATCCACTCTCCCCCGACGACTCTCCGGGAAGACCCTGTCGTGAGTCCCCGGGGACTTTTTCAAAATGAAAAAAAAATATTTTGATATTGCAAGTGAACTGTACAATATCTTGACTGATAAGCTTATACGCAATCAAAATATTAGCATGAATAATATAGTGTATTAAAACAATTATAATAACTACTGATTCCAATTGCGGCTTTTTAGAAACTGCCACTTATTTAGTATCTTGTTTTCAAAGAACTTTCAAAAGTTTATACACTCTAACAAATCCTTTTCCTGATAAACCCAAGAAAAGGCTTTCTGCGCTTCGGGAACCATTTTTCTCGAGTTTAATAGGAAATAGAATTTTCTTTAGATTATTCTAAAAGTACATCAACAAAAAGCGTTTTTTTTTCGGCGAGAAATGAGAAATTTTATCTAGGCTTTTTCAAGCATTTTTATGAATATTTTTGAGAACAGTCCATTGCGGTTTGGTCCCAAATTTCGGTTCTTTTAGCGCTTTGAGTGGTTTATGACGTTCGAAATGATTGACCTTGATCATCAGGGTTACAACTTCTGATATGAAACAGATATCAACTACACAGTGTAAACAAAACACAAATACCTGGTGAGTCATAATGTTTGCTACAGTAAGCATTTTAAGAATATCACAATATAGCTAAAGCATACAATTTTGATCTGTATTTAATGAAAAGATGCGCCATAAAATTCTCTATTCAAGTGGTAATGAGAATTGCTACTGAGTGACTTGAATTATGTTTTTATGAGACTACTTTTACATGAAAAGGATCTTTAAATTATGCTTACGACATTTTAGTTTTAAAAAAAAAGGAAAGTTCTTCATGATATCGCTATTCTCTAGTACAAAAACAAGAAAAAATTTCAGAAATCTAAAGTAACTACTATTTTGGACTACCAATTGTATCTTGTGGCCAATGATTTGCGCACATCAAGCGAGTCACTTTGATTGAGTCATTGTATCTAACGAGGAAATGTAGCGACAATTCCCTTATTAGTCAATATACTCGAAATTTCTGAAAAATTTTCCTGTTATTGTAATAGAGAATAGCGATATCATGAAGAACTTTCCTTTTTTTTAAACTAAAATGTCGTAAGCATAATTTAAAGAGCCTTTTAATGTAAAAGTAGTCTCATAAAAACATAATTCAAGTCACTCAGTAGCAATTCTCATTACCACTCGAATAGAGAATTTCATGACGCATCTTTTTATTGAATACAGATCAATATTTTATGTTTTAGCTATGTTGTGATATTCTTAAAATGCTTACCGTAGCAATCATTTTGATTTCCATGGTAGTATACTCATAGTTACGGTGAAATAGCGCTCAGTGAAGACTCAAATCGAAAAAAAGAATGAATACACTACCTCTCAATCAAAACAAGCACAGAAAACTGAAAGCGGTGTGAAAAAATACGCGTTTATCATTATTTTTCAAACAGTGATCACTGATGCAAATATTTTTTTTATATCATCTTCGTAAAATAAAAGTAGCCAGATAGAGCGACACGTCAAATACGCAAATTTTTCGTCTCACACGCAATCACTGCTACCTTTATATAATGTATAAACAAAGAAAAAATATGATATTTTGATGTTCTCTTGCATAAATATAATACATGATTGCAATTACATATTAGTCAATTATGCGTACGTCTTGCGTTCTACATGTGATCACTGTTTGTTTGTTTTTCTTGTATATGAAGAGAAGATGAATCGAGCGTTTGAAATCCTTTTTGAAGTGAAAGTCAACGTTATGAGGCTGTTTAAACTTGAGCATATATTGAATCGGTACCGTTGTAACCGACCGAGTCGATCCGGGGTGTGAGTGTTATGGCTTCAGCTGGGATATCAGTATCGAAATCCGTACCCCAATGGCATACCCAGGATTTTGATAAGGGAAGTGCCCAATACACCTAGTAGGCTATAAGCTTCCTTCCTAATGCGCTGTATTGATAGTTAAGCCGCTCTTCACGATTCTATGACACTAGACTTTATCTCAGCTATTTTTATTAGCAAATACCAAATAAAACAAATTATAAATCAATATTCATATTTTATTTTAAGAATAAAATACAAAAATAAATAATACAGAAAAAGCAAATACTTATTCACAATAAAGCTAAAACAAGTTCTTGTCATCAATCGGTGAATTTGACGTTCTCTCTGTTGCATGCATGAGACAAACATATAGGTCATCGCTTGGAATATGTATCTTTTTCATATTATTACAAGCAGAAAGAGAACATTATGCTGAACAGACGAGGATTAATTTTAGAAGAAAAATTGTACTAATGAATGACAATCACAAATGATATTTGTTTATCATTTGAATATTGGCCAGTACATGTAGCAGCCAGAAAAACGTAATGTTACTTAGTTTTCATTGTCGTAAAAGAGTTTTCGAATCATGCTTCCAACTCTAAGGGGGGTGCCCGGACACCTAAGGGCACTCCGCTGGGTACGCCCCTGCCGCACCCACATCCATATCCGAACATCTATAAGCGAAAAAATATATTCAAAAGTTTGGTGTTCTTACGTGTAAACTAGACTTGATTTAAGAGATATTTCTAAAACTTTCTCTTCATTTCTGTTATGATTTGCTTTGCTCCACATAAGTGTTTTTCGTATTGAGACACGTTCTAATATACTTCATGTTTTCAAATAGTTAGATGAAAATAACCTTGATTTTCAGTACAATTGTAAAAGAAAGAACGTAAATAACACATTTGCTAGAGATGGATTTACAAAAGAAACAAATTACAAGACTCAAATTTACATTTTCATAAATGACTTGCATCAGTTCGCCGTTGAACCGTGATGAAGAATAAAACTCGATTATTCATCCTAATGGCTTACTACGAACAATTGTGAAAATTTTAAAGAAAAAGAAAAGACTCTTCAACTTTAAAAGAGCAGAAAATTATTATGTCATATTTGAACTAATAGTTTAAAATACAACTTTTTCTAGTTCAGCGCATGTAAAAAAAAGTATTTATCTCGAAGTACTAAATGTTATATCCGTATCAAAAACGATGTTGTATATAAGCAGTATATTTATAGAGTAAACTCCAACAGACTTTATATTTATCAAACTATGCTTGTCTGCTTCTCGTACAACACGAAAAAAGGGAACACTTTATATAAACATGAACAAGACGAGATTCTCTATACTTGAAAATTCCACTAATAAAAATAACTAAAGATGAAAAAAGCATGAATAGCACAAGAGGAATATATCTGAGCACACGAAAAAAAATACATAACACGAAGTACTTTCATCTGAGCTCTACTTCGATCGATTATTTAGCCAAGCTACAAATATACTGCTTGAACTGAATCGCAGCATTCACAATGACAAAAATTGCCCCACTCCAATCTACACACATAATCTCGTCCTATGTTTTCGAGCCACTCAGTGATCTCAGTCGCAAAATTCTCTCCGTCACTCAGACGTCGAAATGTGACCTTCGATAGATGTTCGTCTCGTTCTAATATTATTTTATCATCGTCCACATGCGAAATTTTAATATCAAGTTGTTTGATATGACGAGGTAATTTCAAACCGATAGCATTGCGAGTGATCAACATCACTCCCTAATAATCATTGCAAAATATACGTATTGATCGAAGATTCCACGGTCGCTTGAATAGAACATCTATTTTAACATCCAAACTTCCAGCGGAGTTGCAATCACGCTGAAAATCTAGGGATATTGTTTGAAGATTCAACATATTAACAATTGCTGAAAGATATTCAGTTGAGTGGATTGGCCATTCGTAATCAATTATCAGTGTAAGTTCTGTCACATCTCGAAATATAACTAGATACATCATCAGAAGGTAGCGCACCCATGTAAAAAATTTGGATTACTAATCAAATTTTTCAACCTTAGACGGTAGATTATTTTTGATTTTGATTTTATTTTAATCGATTATAATAGTTTTGTAGGTAATAAATTAAAATTGATTAAAATAAAATCAAAATCAAAAATAATCTGCCTTTTAAGGTTGAAAAATCTGGTTAACAACTAAACGAAGAATATATTTTGTTTAAAAAAAAGAACAGTTTTGTATGAATCATTTCTGTTTTTGTTTCAATTCGTGAAGATGATTTCACAACAAAATATTATTATTTTCTACCAGTTTCCTAAAACGAATCATTTTAACATTTTCTGTCGCATTTGTTCTCATAGTTTTTCTTTGCAACAAAAACAAGCGCTATTCAGATAAGGATCTTTTGCAAGAAATTCTAATTCAAAAACAAAATAGAAGCTTTCTATATGAATTTCGTATTAGAAAAAGTCTTGCCAAAAGATCTTCCTCTTATTAATAATACTCTAATTGAAAGCTGGATATATTTGAATGAAGATCCTTGAAAAAGTGAATTCGTTCACGATTATTCTCATTCGCTAATCATCTCGGTTCTGGCACCGGTAGTTTATTTTCTTTCTTCTTATGTTACTTCATGGATAACAAGAAGATTTCACATAATTTTTCGTTCGCTTTTGCCCATATTATATCCTTATCTATCCAAGACACACGTTACTGACTAAAGAAAAACATTATTTGTTTGAACCATGAGAGAAGCATACACAATCATGAAATTTGAATTATTGCCAAATGAAATTTGAATGGAATCATTTGAATTTCTAAGTATATTTGATATTTTCTATTTATTTGATAAGTTAAATAATCGTTTTAATCAACTTATTCGAGCTATTCCATTACATTTGAACTTTAAACTTGCTCGACAATCAACCTTTGATCGATTATGTCAACTTCTATTGCTTAACTCTGAAGTAAAAAAACAAGTTTATTCGTTAGTATTATCAAATAGAAAAACATGTCATCAAATCGAAACATTTCTTTCACATTTTTCACTGGACCAATTTTCTCATCTTCATTCATTAACATTGATTCAAGTTGGAGACTATACTTTATCAAAATTACATTTAATACCACAATTATACTCTTTTCATTTAATTGATTCTAATGATATTAATCTAACTTATCCGTTAACATCTAACCTAAGAATATTATCGATACCAACATTACGATCGATCGAAACATTTTTTAGTCAAATTTCATCCATTACAAATATGACAATATCGGCATGTTCGCTTGGCCAAGTACTTCAACAATTATTTAAATACGCACCAATGTTAGCCTAGCTCAATATTCACTATCTTTCTGAATATAATGATTGGACAACAAATTCGCCAACTATCGATATTTATAAAGCTGTTCATTTAAAAGAATTGATTATATTTAATTTTGACTATAAATTTGAACATTTTCAAAAATTAGCAAAACATTTACCACGACTAACAAATTTTAAACTCTATGGAAATTGCGATTTAGATATGATCGATGCCAGTCAATGGGAACATCTATTAACATCTTCATTGGCTCGTTTAGATATTTTTAAATTTACATTCAACTACATATATAAAAATAATGATGATATTAATATTCAGGATAAATTTAATCGATTTCAAAATGATTTTTGGCTTGGGAAACATTGGCCTACTGAATATGAATTATCAAACTATTCGGCAACTATTTATACCATACCTTATATGTTCAATTCTTATGATTTTCAATTAGATACTCAGAGATATTCGCATCAATTGGTG